TTCAGAGATGGGATTTTGTTTTATTTTACTTTTTTTTGTTTGTTTGTTCACTTTATTAGCCTCCCTAGGAGCAGTGCTGGCCTATTAACTTTTGTTGCCCTGTAAAGACTCAATACCACCCAGCATTAGGTGCCTAATATCATTCTGTGGTGGATCCTGTCTTTTTCCTTTAACTCTAGAGGAGAAGTAGAAAATTTGTTGGCTATTTTATTTACCTGTGGAAGTGGTACATCCTGCTTAAATTGCACTGGAATAAACTGGGGAAATAACCTCCTCAAAGTAATTGTCTAAATGGTACATTTAATGAAGCCACTGCCTTTGAGACAATTAAAAAGAGCTCAGTTTTCTTCAGGATCTTAATTTAAGTTGGGGCAGATTCTACTGTTTTTAGTAATATCGACTGGCAGAAAAGTATGTTTGTCTCTTGCTGGGACAAATTAGAATTTTATTTGTCACTGTACCATTGCCTGAAGAGAATGAAGAAATTCATTATTATTTGTGCACAAGCATTATTCCAGAGCAGAACTACATCACACTAAGTGCTCTCTGATCTCAGAACAGCAATTCCAGCTTTGCTTTCCAAGCAGATGAACACAGGAGCTCAGTGCCAACAGCAACTCCAAAATGGCTTCGTACAGCACCTTTTCATGTGCAGATGTGTGAAGTATAGATGGTTACAGTAGGGGCCAGAGGTAGAAATGCTCATCCTGATTGACTTACTCCATGAGATCAGAGTAGCTCAACCAGTGGAGGCATTTTCTAACAGGAAAATGCACTTCAGCCAATCATCATAGTACAGTTTGCTGTTGGTGTAATGATGGTGAATGATGGTAGGCTGTAACCTCACATAGAAGCTTTCAGAAGCCAGGCTGCAATTACGTTGGATTACTTTCTCTGAAACTGAATTGCCCATGAAGACAGGACACTTCAGCCTATTTTTGTTGTATGAAAATAAAGGCTGTACTAACATGGGCATCTGGAAAGAATTCAGCTTAGAATTTTAACTTAATGTAAATTTAAAACATAGTTTTAAAAAATAGTTTACGAATCCCAGAGCATTTTAAAGAGTGTTGCAATATTTTTCACCTCATGGCTGTGTCTCTTTTTTTGAACTGTTTCATGTCTCACTCTGTTCTGTACAAAGATAGGCAGCAATTTTCTGTTAGCTTCAGTGCTTGATTTCCTAAGAGACATATCTAATGACTATTTCTAGAGATCTTTACTTCAGTCTTCCTTGCTGTTGATAGGAAACCTATATATACACAGGCATAGAGTTTCATCATTTGTAAAAGTAGACACCAATATCACTAAACATGTTTCTACAAATTTATAAATGCCTTTGAAAGAACCACTGACACAGGAAAGGCTGTGAACAATCACATACAGTCAAATTCATGACACCTACTGTAAATGATGGCTTTCATTCTAAAGCAGGTATGAATACTGGGACAATGAGTACCCCTTGTAACTCTTAGAGCAAAGCACTTCTTTAAGATCCAGTTTCTCAAAGGAGGCTATAAATGGAATTCTATTTTTTTCTTCCATGATTATTTCTCTGTTAGAAGTAACTGGTTCAGCAATGAAACATTTTTTCAGACTACCAAACTGGTGCCCCTCAGCACTGAGAATCCCTCATGAGCTATAGGGAGGGTGTCCTGCCTGCCTCAGAGATGTCTCACAGGCTTACTATAGACAGCAGCTTTGTTGGAGATGCCAAGCTAACTCAATGTAAAGTATATAAGGACATTTTTTTTTTCACTGTAAAAATGTAATTCCAAATACCCACAAAAGTGCTGATTTGTTAAATAAGATAAAGCCACTTTTACATAATCACTAACTAGAGAAAAACCACAGACATGCCTCCAGCATTTAGCAACCAGAGCCTTTTGGGTAAGAGGGCCTTTTAGCATTTCCCTTCAGTTTAGAAGATAAAAAGTACTGCAAATGTACAGAGCAGCATCAGCTACCCTGCAGCCCTGCTATGTTCCTTACAATAGAATCTGTGTTTTGGAAACCAGTAATGGATTTATTCTGCTAATGCCCCAGTGTTGTTTGGGGAGTTGAGGCCAAAAGAGGTGACATGAATGGCTCCGAGCAAAAACGAAGAGCATGATGAAAATGAATGCAGCCCACCTGAGGCCACTTCCAGCACTTTAGATACAAGATTTTTATTTCTCTTTGAGCTCTCAGTTCCTATGCTCTCATCTCTTTCTTGCAATATATCAAAATTGCATTTGCATTGAAGAAGGACAAATGCAAACTATTTTTAACATGGTGCTCACCTTCTGCTTCCTCCTGGTTCACACTGCATGCTGCAGTGGCCACGCAGTGTCTGTGCTCCCACAAGAGGAGAAAGCAAGGGCCAGACATCTCTCAGGGGTTGCCCATAGCTCTGTCTTCATTTATTCTTCTCAGCTTCTCTTCTCTCACCAGGCTTCTTTCCTTCCCCTCCTCAGAATCAAATGTCTATCATCTTAGAGCCATCTTGTTAACAGTACTTTCTGTTTTTGTGCATACTAAATACTCTCTTTACAGCAAATATTACTATGAAAAAAAAACCACATTTTGTTCTGCAGCTATTGGTGTCTAATATATCTAAAGACCCATGGAGAAAGAGATTTACTTTTTTTTTGTTTTCCTTATCATATTCCACCTGCTGTAGAGCTCTCTGGCCAAATCACAGCTTTGTAGAAATAAATAGTTGCTGTTGCAACGGGTTCTGCAAAGAACTACAAAGAAAAAAAGCAATAACATATGCAAAGTCTCTCTGAATCAAAAAGAATCTGAACTAAATTAATGAGACGTAGAGACATTTATGCGATTCAAATGAGGAAGACTGGCAAAAAAAACCATATGATATGCTTTGTCCTCTGACAAGGATAATTGTCTTTTACTAAAATGATACATTTTCAATGGAGATAGATGATAAGTGCACAAAGATGTATGAAAACTACCCATCAGTGTTGCCAGGAGAAAACTCCACCACTAAACTAAACTCATAGGATTTAGATACAAAACTCATTTAGCAATGCAAGCAGAAGAGAAACATAACTATTTGTTTTCATTAAATATCTTCCCTAATCTCATTCCTCTCTCCTCATCTCTTTTCTTTAAAGAACACACTGTAGTTGGAGTAGAAAATGAGGTTCGGATTTGTAGTATCTTGGCTTAACAGAAAATCAGTGATCAAAACCCACCCCCCAGTGCTACTGAAGGAGTTCTGGCACAGACAGCAAAAAGTAAAGGCTCACCAGCATTCCTGAAACCCAACACATAACTTCCCACTTCTTCCAGGCACTGCCAGCTGCTGACAGCTAAGAGATGTCTGATGGGATTAAACATCTACCAGAGGAGAAGCTGGGGCACCATGGTCATTTCCCAGTACCTATGCGAACTCTGAACGCAACACAGGCATTTGCAGGGCCTAAGCAAAGTTTTCTGAGCCCATATTGGGACTCCAGTGGTGGCAAAAGGACCTCTTGTTAGGGGACAGTCCATTAACCTGGCCGGTTTCTGATGTCTCTTTGCTTCATACTTTACCAGTATCCACAGTTGCTGTAATAGGGAACGTTACGGAGTATGAATATCCATTAATTTCTCCTAAAAATTTTCACTCTTGCAAATATTGTCATCTCCTGGCAGCAGGTTGGAGAAGTTTCTTATCTTCTGTGTAAAGTATGTTTTAGAATACTTAAACTCCTAATGGTTTTATGTAGTTCTGTCATGGAGCTGGCTCTTTGCTATCTCAAGCTTGCATAGCTGTTTGCATCCATACTGTATCAGTACAAAATGTTGTCCCTGGAGAGTTCTTATCCAGGGACACTGCAAAAACCATTGAACTGCCGGAAGAAGGAAGAGCAATTCTGCACAGTTCTACTCTTTGAAAAACAATTCAGCAAGACAGCTAGTGTATTTTTTAATGACAGCCTCTAGGTATTTTGCTGAAATGGAGAGAAGAGCATTACCACGTGCATAGGAGAAAGCCCTCATAACCTATCACATCTGAGTGTGTCCATTTCTCAATCAAATGATATAAAAATACATATTTGGGCCTGCAGAACTTCTGAATTCAATTTATAACTGCTTACAGATGAATTTGGCCTTTTGGGGGGATTGAAAATGTTATCTGAGAAGTGCAGTTTTGTACCTAGCAAAATGAAAAATTTTGAAAAATATTCTGTATACATTACCATAGCTTGATTTACTGTCATGGAACTCCAACAATATCAGCCAGTGGCCAGTTTTCCTCTGCGTGATGAAACATGTTTCCTCAAAAACATCAAACTGTAGACAGGAAATTTGCTTACAGAGTGACATCTTGTACCATTGCTCTGTAGTTTATAAAAAGGCCATTGCAAATGCAGTTTGTCATGGGAAAGAAATGTGTTAGACCCCCGTTTCTTCCCTCCATTTAACAGACCTCCTTTAAGACCAAGGTGTAGTGATAAAACATCCCATCTCACAACAAAAATCATCAGAACCACATTGTGCTTTAGCCACCATTTGCCTGCAGATTCCCCTGATGCCCTTTTCCAGTTATCAGGTCTAAGAAGCAGCCTCGCTGAAACCTATGTCTACACTGAAATCTGCTGACAGCATTTACCAGCAGATATTTTTCAAGTTGGTTTGGTAGCAGCAAAAGAGATCTTTCCTGCTGGCACATACAACTCAAAGCTGTCAGCTACACCTGAGTGCCCATGACATCTCTGACAACAGCCAGTGCTGTTTCTGCTCCAGCACCCTGCACCCTGCACACACATGTATCTGTTTTGTCCTGTCATGTACCTTGCCAACACTTATTGACTGGCCAGTATAATCATATGGAGCGTTCTTATTTGCAGCAATAATAGTTACTATAGAGTTTAGCTTCACCCATCAATGCCTTGAAGGGTTGGGGTCTGGCATCAGCCCCTATTCTGCTTGCCCTTCAGATAAATGATTTCTTTCTGAATTAGGCAGCACCTTCATTTGACTTTCATTGCTCTCTCTTTTCACTGAAGGACTGCCAGAGAAACACAACAGGGGAACACTGTGAGCAATGTCCAGATGGCTTTGTTGGTGACGTTGTTGGAGGAGCACCCACATTCTGCCAGCCTTGCCCCTGCCCACTGCCAGAAGCTGCCAAGTACGTAAAATAGTCTCTGCTTTGATTTGTGCTGGTCTGGGACCTTTGTAAGCTTGGGTAAGCATCCCTGCCTGTATGCAGCAGACAAAGCTTCTGCCCTTTCCAACTGAGAAAACTAAGAGCTGCTCCCATTTACTATCACAGAAAATAAAATAAAATAAAATAAAATAAAATAAAAAACAGTTTTTGACCTCTGGAGGGTAAAATCAATCAGGAGAAAGCATAGTTTGGCAGACTCCTGAGCTGAATCTGGGCAGAACTGAAAGGAAAGAGTGAGAGGACACTGTGACCAGTAACAGTACCATTTTAGTTGACACAGCTACAAGGGCAAAAAGCTCTGAAGCCTAAAAGAAAACCAAGACCAAGCTAAAGCCTCTAGGGTTATCCATTTTGTGTCTTCAGAAGAAACAAAAAACTGAAAACTGTGACCAATTAGTAGAAGCCTAGTGGCACATCAGTAAAGCATCTGAACAACATATTATTAGCTCCCTCTTGCTTGAGGTCTGTGCTACGTGAGAGGCATCCAAGCAAATTCCAGTCTACTGCACAGAGGAAATGCTACTAAATACTTGCCAACAGGTTGAAGCTATTTTTTACTGAGCTACCTACTCCCCTTGTGTTTTTTTCCCATTCCACTTGCAAGCAGAGCTCCTCAGCAAAGGGGATTTTTCTTATTGTGTTTGTTTACAGTTGCTATAGCATTTCTCATCCAGCCCCAAGGTGGGATGTGCCTCACTTTGCTCAGCTGCTCTGTGGCACAGGCTCAAAACAGCAACAGAGAGCAAAATCTCTCCAGCCAAACTCTGCAGATTAACTCCTGGCTTTCACAGTGAGCTGCAGACATGAGGAGGGTCACAGGGTGGAGAACAGCTATAGCTGAAAACCTGCAGCTTTTGACTGGGTTAGAAAGAAAACCCTCAAGTGACAGGGGGAAAACCTGGTTTTGCTTACATGAGTGAGCTTACAGACAAAACTTCCTGCTTCCTCCACTTTCAGCAGCAGAAGTAATGCCAGAAATAGGAGAACTCTAACAGTTGGAAGCACTGGTTTCTCCTTAGCAAAAGGAAGTGATTGTTTCTAACCTTCTGGGCACAAAGTGTGTAAGGAGAAGCACTGCCCACCACAGTCTATGGCAGCCCTAAGCCTTCAGCACACCTCCAGGCTGCCCTCTGTGCAGTGCCACTGGGTAGTGCATAGCCCACCTGCCTCACCAACCCCTGCCCACAACCCGCTGGGCTTCAGAGCCCCACAAATATGGGGAATCTAGGATTAAGGGAGCTCTGAACTCCAAAGTGCAACAGTGTAGGGTAGGGAAGAGAGAACAAAACTTGCCAGGAGTCGTCATGTGGATGATTCAAGAGCAACAGTATGTCAACTCTTTTAAATCTATCCCAGTAAAAATCCACTTCAATTTTTTAAGGTTTTCCTTGGAATCAAGTCCTGAAGGCAGTTGTTAAAAGAGTGTCCTGTCCCAATGTGACTTATGCCTGTATCTAAGTAACGTGCAGAAATTCCCTGCACAGCATCTTGCATGACAGAGACCTGGCCACAGCAATAGCCTTCAGCTGCATGTGGAACGCAGACAAATATTAATGACTGAGCAACATTCAGCCTTGCATAAGTAAATTCAAGGAATAACTATCCTTTCATATTCTTGTAATTTTCCTCCATTAATGCTAATCCATATACTGAGGCAAAACATAGTAACTCTACCAGAAATCAGAGAAGCATTAGAAGTCTCAAATAAAGAACATACAAAGGATATTGTTTTGTACCCTGTGTTGGAAATAACCAGTGAACCCATAATAGATGAAATGACCAAGTCTGTAAACTGACAGACTTATCAGACACATACTTGTTCTTGGGATTCATCTGTGTGTCTCCAGATTTTCTGGAAAGATCATGTTCATATCTGCCTTCCTGCAAACTTTTGGAGTCAACTACATGAAGCATAATGTCATCTCTTTGGAACACAAAAAGGGGATGGACATTGCTTCACATTCAGCAGATGTTACTTCTTTTTAAACCAGAGGGAATTTTATGAACCTTTTTTCTCCTAAAAGATCACAAAAATATAAAGCCTGAGGAAGCCTTCAGCCGTATTTCATAACTTAAATCCACAATGTGGTTTGTTCAACTACGTGAAGGAATTAGCTTCTGTTAAAGAAGAGGAATGCTGCCAAACTCATGATTTTCTCACCAAGTTCTCATAAAAGCCTTACTGAAGTTAATTTGTGAATTCTATGAGAAGGATCTCATTTTGTGTTCTCTCTGGTTATATGAAACGTTTTCAGACAACACCAACCCAGAAACACAGATGTATTTGACCCTGGACATCCCACCAGCTAAGAAATACTGCTGAGAATTGAAATTTTGCAGGAATTCTTGTTGCCCCTTAATACCACTAGTTCCTGGAAAAAGCTGTGTGTGATCATGCTCTTTCCCATCACTGAGAGTTTTGAAATCCTGTGCAGAAGGGATGAAAACTGCCACAGCTGCACAGCACAGCTTGGCATCACACTGAAACATGAGATGGACAAGAGGACAAAGACTTACAGTCATTCTTGATGCTGACATTTCTCAAGGGGCACACAGTCATTTAGGAATTGGAGCTAGTACCGCTCAGGATGAGGTTAGCAGTAGGACTCACAACCTCTACTTTAGCAATCATAGGCCTACAGCTGGCAACTGCTGCCACTCAGAATGCTGGTTGCCTTCCAGTGCTGGCAGGAATTTGGACATGCAGATTGCAAACTAACTGAAAACATCTTTAGGACAGTATGCCTTATTACAGCAGATGTATTTAAGTCATGTACATCACTGTATTTGAAGCGAATGGGATTTGCACTTTCCAAATCTGGCTGCTGCTGCTCCTTGCATGTTCTATTTTGTTAAACAGTTGTTAAATCCTGAAAACATAGAAAAGCAAGAGATCCATGTTTTAGAATCTTAGCAATGGAAATTACTGCATAAGGCATTTCTGCAGTCAGCATAACTAATCGGCAAGATGGTCACACAAGAGGCACTAAGGTCTTTCCAGCTTTCTCATAGAGATGGTAGAGCAGCCTTTGTTACAGCACCAATGAGTTCAGTTTTCACCACTCACTACTCCCAGATGAGATCTGAGGAAAACTGTGAGATTTGCACAGGAAATTACTGCACCCATTCCAGAGTCTGAAGGGCTCTCTGCAGTGTTTTTCATAAGCAACATCAAATCTTTTAGAATAAAAGACAGGAAGCAATGAGGTTTGCACAATATACACATTTATCCTAAATCCCTGATCTAAAATGTATAGCAAAACCTGTAGGTGTCTCTAATCTGTGCTGCAAGATAGAAATTTGTATGTATCTGGGAACTATATAGCTCCATAGCATTATACACTACTTAGTGGTTCTAATTAATTAATTAAAAAGACTAGACAAAGGGTTTAATATGCATCACATACAGAGCTTAGATAAAACCTGTGAAGGAATATTCAACCGTGAGAAATCAAGAGCCAGAGTTTACATTGACAACCTATGTCCATTGCTTGTGAAGAAATACTCCCAACTGTTTGCCATTGCATTCTATTCTAATGATTTACTCTAATGAAATTCCAGCTTTGCAGTCTCCTGTTATCGAAAAAATGGAAATGTGCGTTGTGTCTGTAAGGAAAACTATGCAGGACCCAACTGTGAAAGGTAAGAAACTAACAAGATGACTTAATGGTCAACAATACTGAAGTTCAGGAACCTTCAGGGGAGCCTTTACATACCAGGGAGAAACCCTGCACAGAGAAACCCTTTATTTATTTGATGGAATCATGCTTGTTCAAGAATCTCGTTTAGTTCCTAGTAAAATCTATAAAGACTCCCTGTGGAGACATGTGAGGTAAGACAGACTTTTATATTTTATGTTCTTTGACCCACTCCTTGCACTCTGTGTACCTCTACATGGTTATCTTACTAAAAGGAATAAAATTTAAAAATGAAAATACAAACCAGAAAGAACAGCTGAAGTGAAAAGTCACCACCATAGATGCCTCTTGCAGTGCTCCACTTTGAAAACATAACAGGCTTCTGCTGATTAAACATTTCAAAAGCAGAAGAGAAAATGCCTTATCTGATCAAATTCTTAATGAGCAGATGCTTTCATTAAATGTACTTTACACGCATTATTAAACAAAGTCAAGCAAACAACCATAGGTCAGTGCTGCTTTTCAACTCTCATGCTCACAAGCAATTCCAGTAAACGACAAAGTACACAAATAAATGGAGATTTGCAGTAGAAATATAACTTATTGTCCTGTCTTATAAAAGGCCATATTACCATGGACACACATGGACAATGCTACAGTGAATGTCAGAGGTGGAATTATAATTCTCCTTGAGCAGATAAATTAAAACCACTTTAACACAAAGACTATGGGGTATAGGACAGTTCAGACACTGAATTTCACAATGCTTTATTTTGACTTTTCTTAAAGCCCCTGAACCATGTAAGAATTCAGTCCACTTTCATTAATGAGCAAGGTTTGAATTCAGATGATACTTTACTAGAGAGGGAGAAATATGTGAATAGAAATCAATGTGAAAAAGGTTAGATAAAAAAGAGAGTGAAGACTTTTGCCCTTGCAGAGGATGCAAAAACATCAGCGTATTACCTCTGCATCACTAACACAGTGACAGCAGTAGTGAAAGCCCTCTAGACAGATGGCACAAAATGAAAAAAAAAAAAAGAAAAAAAAAGGCTTGTTTCCAGGGCTATGGCTGCATGCTTTTGTTCTTAGGAAATGTCAGATGTATACACAAAGGATAATGCAGACAATTAAAAGGTCAGTGAGGTTTCCTAATGGTTATTAAAATGTCATCCTAGACTACAAGCAAATCAAATCCCATGAAATGAGAAGCAGATTCATAGCAGCAGTGGAGAATGGCAGCAGCTTTCCTTTCTAACAGTCACTACCCAGCCTTACACACTGCAGCTGTTTCAAAATATGTGTAGATGGTTTAGAAAACGTTACAAAAAGAAATCAGCCTGTCCTGGTCGCTGCATTAAGCCCTTTGCAAACTGCTGTGGTAAGTGGCTTGCAGTGACAAAGAGACCCTTCCTTCTGCTAGGCAGCTGGTCCTGCTCCTGGTTCATGTCAGATAGGACAAAAAGCATTTCAAAGACTAACAAGAAATGCTTGTCCGTGTTCACTTGTCAAAGAACAAGCTAACACTAGCTGCTGGTGTTGGCAGCCATTGCACCATAGGAGCACCAAAGGAGAGGGGACATTACTCCTGCCCATCCCACATCCCAAGGGCAGCTTGTATCCCCAGGGCAAAAGAAGACTACATCCCATCACTCTCCTTCTCTCCATGCCCCCTGCCAGCTGCCTGCAGGGGGACAGCGCAGCGGGACACCCTTCCTTGGACAGTGCCTACATAACAACCTGCTCCTGGAATTGTGTAGGAGGCTTCCTTGCGCTAAGTCAGGGCCTTGGCACAAGTCTAGCTGGTTTCTTTTACATGTATCGCTGAATAATGTGAACTAGGAACTAACTTTCCTAAGAACTGTGAAAACCACCTCTCAGTTCAACATTTAAGAATGAGTCATTTTGCTCCTGGACTTTGGCAGTAAAGCACTGAAGTGACAGCAGATGAAATGCAGGTTTTGCTAATGTCCAAATGTAAAAAAAAACATAATTGAACAACTTATGCTTTAGATTCCAAAAGTGAACAGAAGAAAATAGTCTTTTTGGCATTGCCAGGGTAGGGGAAGTTAATTTTTTACTCACCAGTAATTACAGGAAGCAAATAAGTCTGTAAAATGAAACAAAGATAGCCTAGCAGCTTTACTATCTCCACAATACTGACAAATCATGTGGGAGAAGAAATATTCTTTCTTAGCAACAAAGAGCCCCTTACTGATGCAGCAGAGGGAAAATACATTTACCACAGGCCTCTACTTTTCCAGACCATAAAGCACAAAGATGGAGCAATAAGTTTCCATTCAGTAGTCCCTCGTCTTCTCATGCTACCAACCATTCAAAAGAGAAAAGGCACAGTCCAAACCTCTAACATCCCCTGAGAAGCAAAGAGAAAGGAAAAGTGAGGGTGACACATTTATTCATAGCTCTAAAAGTTCCTATTTGTTTTAGACAGCTACTCTAAATTAGCAGATATGGCTAATAAAAGTGAGCCAGATGATTGTAAAAAGCAGGACTTACTTCCAGGCCCGCAGATTTATCTGTGAGGAATTGCCCACTGCATTTCTGGCAAGTGAACTGAATGGTGTATTTCTGAAAATAAAATAAAAAGTCACCATGTCCTTATGAGAGACCATAGGCCTGATGGGGAATAGCAGGCAGTCATTAGTAGTCACTGTCTGAAGCCTACACTGGCTGGAAGTACACTCTCACCTGTGCACAGCCCAGTGGCTTCTGTGATCTGGTGAACACAGACAGATTATTTGGAAAATTATCTAAGTACAGAAGATAAAAGAGAAATGTTGCAAGGTATTGAGAGCTCAGAGTAAAACAAATGGCTCAGAAGATTTAAACAACAATAACAAAAACAACAACAACAAAAAAAACAGATATTTCTGTGCATATACATATACATCTTGAAAACTTCATATACTTCATATAATTTGAAATTTTGGACAATATGGCTATCCCACATTGTCTGAAATATTAGAAAATTATAGTAAGCCTTTTGGCACGACTAAACAGAAGCATCACACATCACTGCGTGCTCTAACTTCCGTGGAAAAGCAATTCCACTCCAGTCAGTTAAATCACAATCTTTATGCTCAGCATTGCATTCACATTTATTTAAGTGCAGAGAACTCCTGGTCACATTTTTATTCTTTACATCTGGGTCACGCAAGTGATAAGATCTGCAGCAAAGATTCTGGCAGTGCTGCAAAGAGACAAACAGACTCTTTGCCATTGGCAAAGGCAGTATTTGAGGCAGCCAAGTGGTTTATATTAAGATGCTTAAAATTTTATATGTGTTTTTTACTGTGGGGGTTCAGGACTGGAAAATGAACAAAAGAGCCTTGAGGAAATTACTTTCGTTATTTAAAAAAAAAAAAAAAAAGAAGAACAAAACAAAAACAAAAAACCTTCAGCAAATGTAGGAACAGAAAACTGGAAGCTGTTATCAGATCTCCCACATTTTCATTGTTGAGACAGAGCAGAATCAAGATTTGTCTGTTCGTATTTCAGGAGACAATAGATTTCATCTTGTGTCCCCAACCAGAATCTTGAGAAAATTAAACTAAGCTGCATGAGAGCTCACCCTCCTCATCCACAAATAGCAGAACAAACAGTATCTGAATGCCGGGCTTTATGGATGGGAGAAAAGACAAGGACAACAGGGTGATAAAACAGGATAACACAGAGTACTCCTTAACTAAATCATTCCAACAACCATTCAACCTTCTGACTTCTTCAATGAGCAGTCATTACACCAGCTAGCTACCCCTTCCCTGCAGCTATTTTTCATTCCCGTAAGTTTGGGGCCACAAGTCCCCAGCCTCTGTGGTGCAGACTGCAGGGTCACAAGCTCTCCTGCCACCCTGCAACAATGCCACAGGCCACATAGGCTGTCTCCATCCTGGCAGCTGACAGCCCTGGTTCCCTCTGCTTCCTAAATACTTGGAGCAAGTGGGAACAAGCATACTGCTACCAGTAGAAACTTCCTTAACTGAGAGCCTGCCCTTTCCTTCCTGATGATGACACCAAGTCTATTGCCTGGTGTCTTAGCAGAAGGTCACAGCTCACCCAGTAGTATGACATACTGCTGGTTTGTCTAGACATCCAACAATCACCACAGTTTCAATACCTAACGCATTTCATGATATAGCAAGCATTCAACACAAATGCATCCCAAAAGCGACCAAACTTGAAATGCACCTTCTCTGCAAAGCCTGTTGCCTATCTCTTGCTCTCCCTCTGCAACCCCTCAGACATCTTCCCCTCTTGGGCTCACAGACATTCTTACTCTTTGGCCTCAACCAAGAGACTAACAGAACAAACCAAAAAAATGCTGTGGATGTAATGGACTGATTCAGCACCTGTTTGGTTCTGCAAACACCAGTTGCCATCCAGTGCCACATCACAGACATATTTTTTAGTCCTCTTCCAGTCTGAATTCTGCTATCTGCATCAGAATGAAAATAACGTCTGAGCTTCCTCTAAGTTTCCACATCATGAAAAGCAGTCTCTTGCCCCAGTTTCCTATAGAACACAATATAGTTGGAGAGATCCAAAGCTGAAAGAGACCAAAATAAACACCAGAACTGCCTCTCTGCCAAGGTCATGCTGTTATATTTTAAACAATGGAGAACAAATCACTGCCCCACTAAGGATACAAAAAAATAAGGCAGACTAGAGTGACTGAGATATCAGAAGTGTTCAAGAAGGGAAAAAAAAGCAACAGAACAGTATGAGATTAGAGTATAAAAAAGCCTCTTCAGGAGTACAGCTTCTAACTTCTGTCCTTTAGTGACTGCTGACTGTCAACAGTTCATGGGAACATCAATTAGGTAAGAGAAAAATGGTACTACAGATGAGAATGGCACTGCAAGTAAACTTTGGGCTTGCTTCTCCTTTCAGGTGTGCCCCTGGTTATTATGGGAATCCTTTGCTAATTGGAAGCACTTGTAAAAAATGCGACTGCAGTGGCAACTCAGACCCAAACCTGATTTTTGAAGACTGCGATGAAGTGACCGGCCAGTGTCGCAACTGCCTGCACCACACCACGGGCTTCAAGTGTGAGCGATGTGCTCCAGGTTACTACGGGGATGCTGTATTCGCTAAAAACTGTACAGGTATTGTCTGCAGTTTAATGTAATGGAGCAGAAAAAATGAGGTTCTGAATGGGGCGCAGACTGCCTCCCAGAGATGTTTAAATCAGTCATCAGATGCCTGGGAGTGGGCCTGAGAGGCAGGAGGGATTTCTGGCCGCACTCCTAGTGCATTACTATGGATGTTCCATCAGCTGAATAACCCCTGACCCTAGCCTGTTTTCCATTACGCATAAGGAATTCTCAAGAGCACAGACCCCATATCCCAACTAAATGCCAGACAGCACTTAGTCCTTATGCCCTTTGTCATTACTTTGGCTGTGAGAGGAGAGACTGCATCTTTCTCCAAAGAGATGAGAAACAGCCACAGCTAAAGGCAAAATGCAAGAGCTCAGAGCAAGGACCTTGGAGCTCCCTCCCAATCCCATTGCCAGAATCCTTTTCCAAGGACAATAACACAAATGAGGAGGATGGATCACTCCTACCTCTCAGCTTGATTTGAACGTAAGCCGTTCAAGCATGCAACCAGCTTAGAAATTTGAAGTACTCCTGGGTTCAAGGTACAGTCTCTGGTATGTTTGCAATGTCTTGATAAAATTTCCATACTTCTTGTAACTCAATATGCACCTGGAGTTTTTATTCACTTAATACAAAGTGTTAGTAAGTTTGGGAGCCTGGAGATTAGAAGCTGTGAGAACAATCTGGACTCAAGTGTCTTTTGTGCAGCAGTCTTCATTTATGCGTACAGTGTATGATGCAGTTCTTTCTTGTTTCCTGTTTCCAAAGTGTAATTCACCTCACTAAGTAACATTAATTCAACTTATGCTGAACAGGGAGAAGAGGTAATACACTGTAACCCCAAAAGCTGATCACAGGTATCCCAAACAAGCCAAAGACAGAGTCTGCAGGGAGCTGCACATCCTGAATCTTAGTTCATGTCTGGATCTGGGCACCCAACATATGCCCACAATTCAAACTCTGTGATTTTGAGGTTGTAAAAGCAATTCCTGCTTATGCATTTCATTTTATGCTTTCAGCAATCTTTTGGTTGACTCTTGCAAATCCTGATTTTGAAGCATCATGTTTTGAGAGAGTTATGCAGTACTCATACTACCTTCACTTCTGCTAAACACCCAAATGTGTTGTACTTGATAAATGGCAGCTGCAATGATCTCCTGTGTCAGTCAACAAACCCATGATAGCCAAACTATTGTGGTAGCTTACAAGGCAAGCTTATAGTTTATTTGGCAGTTCAGAATGACTAGGAGTTCTTATTTAGAAAAAATATTGATTCTCAAATAAGATAATTATTATAATAATAATTATAAGATATATTATAATAGATAATTATAAGATTATTGTAATAGATAATTATAAGATTATTATAATATATATTATAATAATAATTATAAGATAATTATTAACTGGAGCATAGAAAGTTCCGCACAAATGTGCACAAGAACTTCTTTACGGTGAGGTGACAGAGCACTGGAACAGGCTGCCCAGGGAGGTTGTGGAGTCTCCTTCTCTGGAGATATTCAAGACCCGCCTGGATGCCTACTTGTGCGACCTGGTGTAGGGAACCTTTAGCAGGGGGGTTGGACTCGATGATCTCTGGAGGTCCCTTCCAACCCCTACAGTTCTGTGATTCTGTGATGAAATATTGTCAGAACAGCTTTTGAAATGAATTTTCTATAAGCATTTGTGTAACAAGCTAAGAGTTATCCAGCTAAATAAGAAGACACAATTTCATTTTCTTGAGTACTAACCTAATCCAAACTAGATCTGTGATACAGATCCTGTGATACAGGTTAAGAGAAATCTCTGCTTTCAACTGAGATTTCTCTTTCAGTTCTTAATAAAAGAAATAACAAATTAAAACAGTGTAGATTCAGGAGTTGCAATACGCCAGTTCAAACTTGTCGAGAAGTCAAAAGGTTGATTACCTCACAACATTCTTAGCCAACTTCTTTCATCACTAGTACAAAGAATGAATACTTCTACTAACTTTGGTTCAGTTACAAAGAAATATTCGAATGTTAGTGTATCGTGTTGACTTTGAGGCTGTATTACAAATTTTCCTAAAAAATTCCTTGAATGTTCAATGTGGAATGTAAATATAAGGGAACTCACAGAGAACAATGAATGGGCTGCAGTAAAATGGCAGTAAGCAATTTTGTTAGATATGAGATTCTGCTGAAACCATGAATCACAAGAGTAAAATGAATTCCAGATAAGTCACTGCTGTTTCTCTGTTTTGCTAATATTTGTTATTCTATCAAAGTGTTCCAAGAATATTTTAATCTTGAAAATAATATCTTTTAAAAGGCCAATTAAATCTTGAGAGAGATACTTTAGATTAAAAATTAAACTTTCTAAAAAGCCACTTGTGTTGGCAAAAGAAATGCAGCTTACTCAGTTTAAAGAAAACGTTAAACCTCACTTGTTCTTCATTTTAAGTGGTAGGAGACACTTACTTTTTGATATGATCAAGCTGGAATTAGAGTCCACTATCACTCCCTGACAGCTGGAAACTTTATTTGGTGGGAGCCTGACACAGCGCTGAGAAGTTCCACAGGCCTGCAGAGAGTTACATAACAACTAATTAACATCAGCTGTACTGCTTTCCTTAGCACATCTCCTAAACGTCACCCTCTGCAGATGGTAATGTACAACAGCACCGCTGGACAACTCTGGCCTTTCTGCCTCTGCTTTTGACCAGCTGGGAAGCTTTGAACAAGTCACTTCAGCACATACTTTCTGTGTTATGGCTGATATTTTATCTGGTCCAATCTATGTAATTAAGGAAAAATCAGTCAAGGAAGCCCTTGATTTTGGTTTGATTACCTTTGCACAATCCCACATACAATCATTTCATTAGTCTTGGAATGGGAAAGCTGGGTTGAACATTTTGAAGATTACTATCTTAAAACCCTTTTCTTTTCCTCAGCATGTAACTGCGGTGGGAGAATGTGTGACAGCCAGACTGGAGAATGCCTCGCAGACAGTCCTGTAATTTCTACTGGCACAGACTGCCCAACCATCAGTAAGAATAATATTATGAGAACTCAGATGCTTGCAGATACTAACTTAACACTCAGCTCTCTCTCCAGTGCACACTTGTACCTTGATTCTGCAGGGCACTTAAACATGCAAAGATCCAGTGCCCTACCAGCTGTGTATTTTAATTTGTACTTACTTGCCTGACTGAGCCCATGAATATGTTCAGCTCTGCAAAACAGACTGTATGTTTAGGTACAAGCTGCAGAGCAGTAGGGATGTATCACAAAAGCTATTTCTCTAGGCCTAGAGATACAGAGCCTGAAAAAAAAAAAAGAAAAAAAAAAAAGCCCTAAAATGCTACCTTGCATATAATTTCTGTTTTTCTCATTTTATATGAAATATAAATTGTTACTGTTAGATTTGACATACACACATCAGTCAGTTGCTTTTCAGCTGTCTGCCCTATTCTAAATACAGGAAGCCTATTTCAAAACTTCTAGTGAATACTAATACTTTTTAAAAGATAGTGTTAAGACTATAGTATTATACAGACTACATGTCACCTATGGACTCCTAAGCCTGTTCCCAAGAAGAGGGATCACGTGTCCAGAAGCACAATCAGAAGAAAAACATATAGCAGCTGCTGCCATCAGGAAAACAGACCGTACAATACCAAACAAAAGTTCCTACAGGAATCTGGGTTTCATGTTCATCTAAGTCTCCTGCATTTACTGGTGGCACAAATGTCACTAAAAACAAGGTGGTATTGCAAGCATTCTTACAGGACAAGGGTGTAGTTCTGCAGCAGCATAATTCAACATGTCAAAACTCTGCTTTGAGAAGTTGCCGTTCTAATTGGGTAGACAGCCAAGAGTCTGGCTGCTGGACATCCTCACTTCTCATATCACCAGATTTAAAATGCAGAGTTCTGGCTGCTGGCAAAATGAACTTGTTTTTTTGACCCTCATCTGTTGTTCTCTGGGACACAAACACATGGAACCTCTAGGGAATAGCCAGGAAATGCCTCATCTCTCGCTCCCTACTGATTGCAGTGCCGCCTTGATGGCCCTTCAGAGCAGTCCCATCTGGTGCTGCTCAGCTGGAAGCATCGTGCCTGTCCTGTGGGACCTTGGGAGTGGGTGGATGAAAGGGAAAGAAAAATGGATATAAATCAAGGCCCATCCATGTCAGAAAGAGGAAACCCCATGGAGCACTCAAAAGTAAATTTAAGATGTTGTTAAGTTTTACAAGTGCTAAAAATAAAAAGATACTTTTATTTTCTTATCAGGCTGCGATAAATGTATTTGGGATTTGACAGATGACATCCGGTTAGCAGTGCTGGCTATTGATGAAAGCAAATCAACTTTACTGAGCATCTCTACAGGTGTTGCAGCTCAGAAACGTTTGAATGACCTGAACCTCACTACTACCCATCTCCAGGTACAAATATTGATGACGTTTCGCTTTTTTTTTAATGTAATTTTCATCTATGGGTTTCCACTCCATTCATGTAAATTTACATCTCTGCCCTCAGTGCAGAAGTTTGGTTTGGGATGTGCTGACTTCTTATTTTCCCTACACACAGGCAGCAATGTCCAAAAAAAAGGGCCACTCCACACTTTGGACTGACGAGGTCGATAATGCTGCGGACGACATGAATGATCTCCTGAGAGAGGCAGAAAACCTGGATGACCAGGTTTGTTCACAGCCAGTACACAGAGGCCTTATGGCTTGACATATTCTCATGCTGGCAAACAACGTTCACTGCACAAGACCAAGAGTGCCCTGAAAAAAAGTTAGGATAATGTTTTATTTCTCAACTTTCTACTTTACTGAGGCTCTAAATTAAAAGTGCTGAAGATCTACCAAGTCTTCTTCCCAGGAAAGGAAGAGCCAAACTTTTCTGAGCATAGTCAGAGGTTTGTCAAAGACAGCAAAGAGCCTCCCCTTGGAATCTAGTTCCTTTTTCCTCCCATTACACCATAGGCACAGTAGACACCCTGCCTTGCAATTTCAAACCGAAGTAACCAACATTAAAGTAATTTGGACTGACTTTAGAAATCTTCATATAATATTTATTTTACATGTATGCCCTTGTAAAATTCCATTTAGTCTGATTAGTCACTTCACAGTGTGCTACAAAGCTGCTGGTTTAAAAGCCTTTTGAAGTACCCACTGAGATGGGAGCCTGATCAGCACTCAAGATATGTTTTAATACAATTATAATCATAGATGTTACATCCATATTCAATTGTCAGGCTATAAAATTAAGGTTAGCTGCTTTTAGCTCACAGAACACTTTCACTGCACCCTGAAAGAATACTGATGTGATATGTCTCAGGTTGGATATTGGGAAAAATTTATTCTCAGAAAGCGTGATGAGGCACTGCTACAGGCTGTCCAGAGAGGTGGTGGAGTCAGTGTCCATGGAGTGTTCAAGAAATGTGTAGATGTGGCCCTGAGGGATGTGGTTAATGGGCTCATGGGGGTGAGTGGGGTGTTGGACTAGATGATCATAGTCATATTTTCCAACCTTAATGATTCTATGATTGATTCTGTGTTAAGCAATGAGTTCAAAATTGCATCTCTTCTATTTTAAATGAATATTATTGAACAGCTTTTTGTTAGTGAAATATATCTATTTTAGGGAAATATACCAGGCTGTGTTATTTCCAGCCAGAGACAACCACAGCTGACAGAGCAACTGGAGTGTCTTTCATGCTTATTGCAGAACACCACACCTTACGTTCACTTACCAATTCCTTCACAAGGCAAAATTATACCATTAGGAAAACTGAAATGCAGAAGAACAGAGAAGGAACAACAACAAAAAAAAAAAAAAAAAAAAAAAAAAGAGTGAAAAAAAGGCTGAATAGAGAAGTGGAAGACAAAATTTGGGTTTGGGTATTTTTAATCAGCACATATTTTGGAGAAAGTCACTGCAGAATTACAAGGGCTCTGTGTTCAAAAGAGAAGTGTGAGTGCATGTGATAAATGTAGTCTGTAACTCCTGGAGGCTGCTCGGGATGAGCTCAAAGTAAAGTTGCACACAGCTTGACCATGAGTGTTTGGCAGACTTGGGGGAGCCCAACACTTTTCCTGCCCAGGCTCCAAGCAAAGCACAAGGCAAGTGCCCCATGCCACTGGGGAACTGAGGGCCACTAAGAGCACCCCTCACTCACGCAGCTATGCTTCCTACTAACCTTTTGGAAACCCTGACAGCAGTAAAGGACAAGCCATTCAAAGACCGAAAACAAGCAAGCGAACAATACAAGCCTTCCACTAAGCCCGGCCGTGTCGCCGTGGCCTCAGGCGCCCCCTGGTGCCGCCGCCTCAGCAGCTCTGGCGCCGCCATGACGCGAGCACAGCAGCAGCCCGAGCTCTCCAGCCTTCACTCCCATGCTCAGACTGATTTTACAGTGTGGATTTTCGCTGCTGCAGCCTTAAAAGGGCATTGAACTGAACACTGCCAAGCGTGTGGTGCAGGCTTACGCGTATACACATGGTCAGCAGCCATGTTATCTTCTCCTTCCTTAGATACACCAGTGAAAATTAAATTTAAGGAATCCCAAAGTTAATGTCACGTCCAGATAATATGATAGCCGTGCCGTGGTAAATGTTCACCTCCCTAACAGCTTCACTCACTCATTCGGGAACCATGTCACCTCAATGCACATATGGGAAATGCAGTGGGAGCGCAGGCCCAGCAGTAACACAGAACATCAGGGAACCCCTCTTTACTATGACACGCTGTGAACGGTGGAGCACTGGCATAGATTGCTGAGAGAGGTTATGGAGTCTCTTGGAGATCTCAAAAAGCTGTATGGGCGTGGTCCTGGGCAACCTGCTGTAGGTGTCCCAGCTTGAACAGTGGGGTTGGACCAGAAGACCTCCAGAGGCTCCTCCTTGACCTTCACCTGTGATGAGTGTAGCTACGCTCTTCCGCGCCTTTTGAATCCTCATGCTTGTTTTCTTAATTTTAACAAGTTGCAGAGCAGGCAACCTCGCATGAGGGAGACAGTGATCTAAAAATGGTGGTGAGCTTCATGCCTTACTCTGCAGTCTATACATTTAGTCAGTAAATGTGATATCCAGCAAAATGAGCCAGCCCTGCTGAATGCCTAGGAGACTCGGCAGATGGGAGGTTTACAACTGTACATAATTTATGACAATTTGATTGCAGCAAGTGATGGATAAATGTGGGACAGATTTTAATCTCTCACTCTGCAATACTGAAAATATCGACAAGATGGCCCTTCACTTCAAACACCTCTGTAAATACCACTTTATATGATAAATGGACGTTTGCATGCTCGTCAGGAAAAAGCTAAATGCGTGTTTACACTGCTCATCTCCACACATGCATACAGATCTGAAAGAAAAAAAAAAGAAATCTAATATCTTGCTTACACGGTTTATTCATAGGGAAATCAAGCTTCCAGCAAGGGTCTACTGGTACAGAAGGAAACCATGGAGACCAACAGCCGTGCTACTCAGCTCGTGCAGAAGCTTAGTAATATGAGGGATAATATTCAAGGTAAATAAATTTATTTCTAGTTCAGCTCACTGTGAAGCATGTATTAATGAAACTTCCAGCAAAAAAAAAAAAAAAATAGCACCCGGGTACTCTGACAAAGCAACTCACACATAAGGCCACTAGAGCCTCCAGTACCATGATGAAAGGTTATCTCTGAGTCGGTCTGACAACTAGAATAAATGCATCTCCTTCATTTTTCTCATTCTGAAAAAGGAAAATAATAATAAATAAGTTTAACTGAAATACTTCAAGATAATTCAATTTGTAACCTCCGATTGTTTGAATAGATAGTCAAGGTATTTATATATACTGGTGGTAAGAAAAAAAAGTAGAGTTGATATCAGACTGGAACTCATTGCAGCCACAAGCTCAAGCATGGGATTGGAGGTGAGAATGTTTGGTGTCTTCTTTTATAGCAGATTAATATAGCAAGTGCCCTTTTCCAGTCTTGCAGGTAAATAACAGAGGACACACAAATGCTAGGCAGATTTTTTTTTTTAATATCACTTTTCCTTTTGAACCCATGGCAGTCAGATCTGACTAAGTCTGGTGATCACTCTGGTGAATCACCAGTATTTTGCTTTTTAGCAAATTGTTTCTTGGTAGAACTATGTTGATTGATATAGCATCATGCAAATGCTTCTAAAAAGAAAAAGATGCTAAATACCACACTATTTTGTGGATGTACTGCATCCCCAAGCTCACTTTGGAATGTGATGATTTTCTCCTCAAGTTGTTAATTGCTTCATCTGACCAAAATTTCCAGTTGAGTTTGAGTTCAGACCCAGCCAAACAGCATTAGAGAGTGACTGTTGTCTTTTTTTTTTCCTGAAATACAGAAGTAGAGTTAGAAAACTGCATTTTCATTGGCTTCTCATTTCTCCACAAAGTGAAATGCAGAATTTTAAACCAGATGGCTAGAGCAGACTGTCAGAAATGGTTATAGTGATGCTGTCTTACAGCAGGAGAGGTAACCATGATTAAGAGCTCCCAGAATTAGAAGAATGAAACCAAAAGCTTTTTCATGTTAAAATGAGACAAACTGTCTCTTGTTATCTCAGTGTCCTGCTCATCTGTGCATATGATACATGGAGATGCAAGTGAAACTTAAGTCCATCTTTGGGCAACATGCTGGAGCAATAAACTTGGAACTAACATAAATTTCAAAACATAATTTCTCTTCTGACTGTAAATGTACATATATCAGACCTTCCCAGGTGAAGATTTGTTTGATTTACAGCCTGAGAACTGCTTGGATCTTCAAGAATTTTTACTGTACTATACATCAAAAGTTAAATGACAATAGTGAACACCTTCCCAAGCACAATTGCAAATCCAGTATGATCATCTTCATGTGGAGTATCTGTGACCATTATCATAATGGTATATAAAACTGAGATTACACCAATCTCTGCTTCTTCTTCTATACCTACAGAAAGCAATAATATCTACGGGAATGTATGCAGAAGCATTCCAGTCCCCTGTTCACCTACATCACAAAAACATCCATTCTGCCGTAGAGCACACTGATTTCTCCCAGCTCTTAGCAAAGCCAAGAGTGTAAAAATCTGTGCGTGGCACCAGAACAGAAATTTGCCTGCTAGGTGAGGTTAAAGAGCCCTTTTTCAATTAATAGAAATCCTTAATTAACAGACTTGAGAGGTTCTGACTTAGAGCAGTAATTTCAAGTTCTGTGGCAGTTTTTGTAAGGAAGAGTTGTGACGTATCAATCATTATCACTGCTGATCATTAGTTCCATGGATGTTTTAACCAGTACTTTAATTTCAACAAATATAGTTAACTTCTCACAAAGATGAGACAGGCTAAGACCATGCACACATAATTCTAAAAATGTACTACATTCTTTCACCCTTGATTCTAAATCATCTTTGATTATGGGGTCAACCATCACATTTTATTTCTACCATTTTTGACTACAGGTATCAGCCTCAACCTCACTGATTGTCATCAGTATTCACTAGCTGACTTGTGTAGATAATTCTTTTTAATCATCAGTTGTTTTGGGAAGAAAAGGGAACGCAGAAGGCAGAAATGTTTTTAGTTTAGGACACAGATAGCAGAACTCAGGTTGAGCTACTGTAGAAAAACAACACCCGTGCCTGCAATTAAGGGTGCCTGTTCACCCAGAAAGGAAGTTAGAAACAGGTGGGTGAAAATGATTTTCACCATGCCCAAAATCATTCTCTTCTATCTCTTCTGTAGAAAGTGATCCAGGTCCTTCTGAAGATAAGATGTACATGTGTGCCCATTTTCATACACATATATGTCTGTGCGTGCCAGTAGGAGAAGGAAAAAGAAAACTGTGGAGTCATTCAATTACTGCTGAGACTGAGACTTTAGAGCTTCACTGATGAGTTCAGGAGCCATCCCGAAACTGCATGAAAAGATACTCTGCCAAAGAATTTGTTGTGCCACAATGACGCATACATACTTTATTAAAAATTTCAGATGGACAGTGCTGGCTTTGGCAGATCTGCTTATCCACAAAACTGGTGATGAACACAAGCCAAAGCTACTCACAGGGTACAAAAGAGGACATGGTTGATATTTGAAGCCAGAGATGACAAAGTGGAAAGACTTCATAATGCTTGCTCTGGGAATGGGTAAACTCAGTTTCAGCTGCAAGGATCCAACAGCATTTTCTGAACTGAGACTAAAACGTTGAAATAGTACCCATCTCCAAACCAGCAAGCCATCATCAGAGTTGAAGTTGTATGTTATATCTTAAAGGTGCTTCAAACTTCTTCCGATGGCCAAAGAGATTATTTTAGTCTCCTTGCTGCTATTGTTATTTAATAAACATCATATTTTTTCAGTAGCACTTAAAAACATGATCCTGGATGAAAGCCCCAATCTGCTACGTGCCACAGAGCTCAAAATGAAAAGATGATCCCAGCTGCCAAGCCAAATAAAGCACATTACCCTTGCCTGTTTAATCTCATCGTCTTCTGATGAGATCCCTACATATGCCAGAAAGTGTTTATTTCCAGGTTTCATTTTAAGACTGGATTAAAGATTATAATTACCTACTGTAGAGTTGTAGGATAATTAAAATTTTCTTTTGCTACCAGCATGATCTGGATTCACAAAAATAGAAGTACTCCACAATGTTTACTTGTCTGTAGCATGCTAGATTGACCATCTGTTCCTTTTTCCCACAGAAATCAGCAGCAAGATGAAATACTATGCGATTCAACAAGAGCTAAGCCCTGAAGAAATTACCCAGAAGCTCAGTGTGGCTGAGGAGATGCTGAAGGAGATCAAACGCCGTAAGCCTTTCACAAATGAGAGGCAACTTGCAGATGAGGAGGAACATGCTGCAGAGGACTGTGAGTTTTGAATCTGTTTTCCATTCACCCAAATGTTGATGCACAGTTGGCTCAGGCTGGGCAGCTTAGGACATAATGCTGAGGTCCACACTGGGCAGCTTGGGAGGTAATGCTGAGATCCTGGGAAGGAACAGCAGATCCTGGTGGTTTTGAGTAGCTGCACACATCACAGCTTGGGAGAATGTAAGAGCAGGTCATATGAGACCTGTGTGTCCATCAGCAGTCTTCTGTCATTAATTACTTAAACAAGAAGTGAAAGAGATTAAATAATAATTCCTACTCCTAATGGTTTTAAGGAAAAAAATAAAAAATAAAAGAAGCACAAGAGCAAATCTGGGATAAAAAAAGAAGAAAAAAAGAAGAATGAAAGAAGCCATTATCTGCCAACATAAAAGCAATCTCAGCTTCAGACAGCCAGTCTCTTAACCCAAGTGACTTGTGTAACTCTGCTGACTTCGAGAGAGTCATTAAATAAACATCAGGGCTACAGCTTTTTCTTTTCCTGCCTCTCCCCACCCCACTAAAGCTGTGGAAAAGATGCCAGCAGTGCCATGGCTCTGACCAGCATACATAGTGAGCTGCCCATAGTGCCACTGCTTTTAAGTGACTGCCCCAGGTCTCTGGTTGTTGCCCAGATGGCAGGACAGGCATAAAAATACAAGATAGCCTTTATGTCTGTCTGCATTTGCCTGCTCTGGTTAATCAGTCATCTCTGATTTTTTCTTTCAGTGTTACAGCAAGTTGAAGAGTTTCATGAGAGGTACAATGACACCAGATCTCTTGTTTCTGATGTGGTGGAGCAGCTCAGTGAACATAACATGAAGCTGTCAGACCTGGAAGAGGCATTAGGCCAGGCACTTGACTATGTTATACAAACAGAGGCCATAAATAAGGAAAACACAGCCAATGTTCAAGAGCATGAGGTATTATGCATTCTTTTTATTATCAGCATCTGTGAAATAGCTCATATTTACCAGTACTTAAAATAGTGGATTACCATTTTGATTTAGAAATCACCACCTCAAAAAAGGTCCTTGAACTCCTCAGCAGGATGAGTTTAACATTCCAGTTCTAAACAAGTTGAGAAATGCAAAAATTATTACTTTTTTTGTGAAGTGACAATGCATGTTGCTTTTGGCAGGGCATGTCCTAGCTGGCCAAGAAAAAGATGGTTACTGATGCCTAAACATAGGAAGATGTATTCTAAGTAGCACAGTTGCTATAAATACTGTGGTGGAATTGTTTCATCTACCATGCACTCATTTATAATGTGGAAGGACTTCATGCTCACAGATGTAGTTATATTCTAATGAAATATTCTGTTTATAGAGATTGTGCTGGTTGGGTTCATACTGCCTTATCCAAACTTTATCCCTGCTCCTCTTTTAAGCAAAATGCCTCCCCTTTTTTTTTTTTTTTTGCTTTTGTTTTCTTGTTGTTGTTTAGAAATAGAAGCAAGCACAAATCCATCCTCTAACCAATCCATACCAGATAGCTTGAAAATGGGTTTCCCACTTGCTGGGTGAACTGCTTTGCTATGAGGCTACAGTAGTTTTTTCTTATGCACTGTTATATACTGAATAACTTAAGTATTTTGAACAAAGCAATCAGTCAGAGCAGAGCTCAGAAGAGACCTTCCCCTGTGGGACCCCCACAAAAGGGGGAAGTTCACATGTGAGTGGTGGAGTTAGGTTCAAATAGCATGTGGCTGATGAGAAAATTGAACTTTGATGTCCTTCATCCTAGAAAGATACTTAATACATTGTTCATATTTAAAAAAAAAAAAAAAAAAAAAAAAAAAGTGGGATTTTTCCTTTTAGCAGTTTGACTTCTATTTTTTTAAGGGATGCAAAATTAGACTGTCTCACCTAAAATTCTTTTTCTGGTTTATTTTTTTATCAAGAAAAAAAAAAAAAAAAAAGAACAATATGGGATTATTTGAACCTGTTTTCATTTTAATGACTGAAATTGTTTGGAGTCTGGAGGAGAACAGTTTAGGGAGCAATCCTCTCGTCACAAGAATGATCTTATGAATTCAGACCAACCTCTGTGTTTCATAGCACCACATTGGCTCCATTTTGAGCTCTTTACTAGAAGTTCATGATGATGTGGAATGTCTAATATTTCAGAAGATAACTCAAGCATGCTGTTCTTTTGATGTCATCTACGAGAATCTTGAGATCTTTTGTGTATAAAGTCTCTTTATTTTTCTGTTGTTTCACTGTTATAGTTTCAGGTTACAGTTCATATGATGTGTCTGAAACGAAGCCTTATGTGAACTAGCTGCAGTCAAAAGCGTGCTCTGTTGGATTTTCCAGTTGGATTTTCATTATTCTTCACAATGAGAGATTGTTCAAGTTAGCTTTATTATTGACAGTGAAAAACATTTGCAATACCATACATTTAAAATCCTACAGAAAAAAAATTTCCAGGTCATTATAAGAAGTCCATAGTTGATTTGTTTATGCTGACCACTCACTGACTAATACTTAATCCCAGTAACTGTTCCTGCTGCAGTATATAAAGAAATTAATTCTCATAAATGATTTTTTTTCCCATAAGGACTATACGGTAATGGAATAACACTATTTTATTAATAGGGATATCTGTGAAAAACTTTGACTTCATAGTTATCTAAAATCTATTTCGTTTACCTCTTCATCTTTTAAATTAACATTAGTAACAAAACAAAAATGGTAACACTATTCTAGCAATTCACAGCAATTTTTTTGTTGATTTGTTCTGTAGAAACAACATGAGAAATTAAAAGAGCAAGCAGATGAAGTGAACAGTATTGTGCTAAGTGCCACAGCTATTCTGGCAGAGCCACGAAAGATCAGCTCAGAGTTAAATGAGGTAATTAAGGTAGGTGCCTCATTGATTTCTCTAAATGGTATGTCCTGAATTGTTGAACTTTTAAAAAGTCATGTGCCTAGACCACTGAATGAAAAACACTTCTTTTCTTTTCTTTTCTTTTCTTTTCTTTTCTTTTCTTTTCTTTTCTTTTCTTTTCTTTTCTTTTTTCTTTTCTTTTCTTTTCTTTTTTTCTCTTCTCTTTTCTTCTCTTTTCTTTTCTTCTCTTTTCTTCTCTTTCCTTCTCTTTCCTTCTCTTTCCTTTTCCTTCCTTTTCCTTCCTTTTCCTTTTCCTTTCCTTTTCCTTTCCTTTTCTTTTCCTTTTCCTTTTCCTTCTCCTTTTCCTTCTCCTTTCCTTCTCTTCTCTTCTCTTCTCTTCTCTTCTCTTCTCTTCTCTTCTCTTCTCTTCTCTTCTCTTCCTTCTCTTCTCTTCTCTTCTCTTCTCTTCTCTTCTCTTCTCTTCTCTTCTCTTTTTATCTTTTCTTTTCCTTTTGTTTTTTTTTTTGGTTGTTTTTTGTTTTTTGTTTTTTTTTGACTGCTTCAATGAAATACTGATGAAAAAATAAAGTGTAACTCCTCCTGGATGAAAAGTTCTGTAACATTTTACTGCCGTGGAAAAATAATATATTAGAAGTACACCTTATTGTAGGCACAACTAATTGAAGAATTTTGCTGCAGGGTTCTCAGTCATTTCAGTATGAGTTGCTGCCAAAAGGTGCTTTGGTGGCAGACTGTACTTTTCTCATGCCTGCAAGTGAGCACAGAAAGCAGCTCCCATGTCTCAGTTTTAAAACCAGTCATAGAATCAATGATGGTCAAAATGTAAATTGTACATATAAACAAATCATCTTATTGAAATTCTCTTCTGGAACTATAGATTAGGATCCAGTCCTCTGAATGAGACAAGGTGTTGTGGGAAATTTTTAGAAGATTAAACTTTCCCATGGTTTTTGAACTTTCTACGAAAAAAACAAAAACCCAAAGAAAATAAAAGTGGGATTTTTCCAACTAAAATCTTTGCCATTTTACAAAAGCTGTTTGTTTTGGTTTTTTTTCATCTCTTATAATAAGAATTGTTGATAGTTCAAGACAAATGAAAATTCTCTACAAACATTTATTTTGGCCACAGTTATCCAAAGCAACACAAATATCAACATTTTTTCTTGAAAAATTAACTTCAAAACAACAAGAGGACAGCTTTCTTTAATTATAGCCATCCCAAGGTAGTCAGTCAGTCTGATATTTTTTTCTCATGTGTTTTGTGTAAAATAAATTGCTGCAGTTTGTCGTTCAGGGTTCCCCAATCCTGTGGGTAAATCTGCACATAGGGGATGTTTGTATAGCTGGGGAATAGCAATTTCCATCCTCACCAGCAGTGAGATTCTTCATGCTTCACTCATTCATCCTTTTTCTCTCCCCTGTTTCATTCTCTTTTTTCCTTTATTTTGTGACTGCAGTTGTAATCATCAAACTTGTTGCCAAAGTTGTGTGTTGGAGAGGAGGTGAACAGATGTCTTGAGTCTTCGCACAGATATTCCATATAAGAAAAGCCTATAGCTAAAGCAAAGGGATAGTACTTCTTTGCCCACACATACAGTGTTAGTTGTCTGATAGACTCCTGCAAACCAGACAAATACAAGATATCCTCCTCCTATAAGAGCTATTTCTGTGCAAGGAGACAGAATGGGTCCAAGGCTATTCTAAGAGCTGTGTATGGCACAGCTTACATCTGTATTGCTAAAGTCTGTCCCTCTCCAACAACATTCCTCCTCCACCTTGCCCCTGGGGCACAGGCACAACCTTATTCCCCAAAGAGGTAGGCTTGGAAGAATGGCAGCTGGCCAGGGCCAAAACAGTTCCAGGGATCATGCACTAATGGGTTGCTTTGTAAGCCAGCCCACTCCAGCATTGTTTAGCTTGCTTGTAGTTTAGAAGTCCCAAGAATTAATTTCTGGCCTGCAGATTTTAAAAAAAGTAAAAATAGAAAGTAAAGCAAACACCATGGTTTCCATTTCCTAATTTAGTATCACAATAAGGGGATTTTGCAAAGATCTGGTTTAATTATTCTACCTAGTTATGCTTCACAACAAAAAAGCTTGCCATTGGCAGTGTTCTAGAGTAAACACAACAGATGGTAAGATATCTCTCAACTGTCTCTCTTTTGTATTTCTCACATCTCTCTGTAATATCTTTTGAAGAGATTTCTTGAATTCTGGATGATTTTTATCTTTCTGCGTTTGTCTTGCTTCACCAGCATTCATAAGACACCCTTTACTCTCTTTTATGTGATAAAAATATAAAAGAAAACAAAAGCATAACATAAAAGGTAAAATAAAACATAATAATTTTTAAAAAGACTTGATTTTTTTATGATTTTCATATTCTTTCCTTCCTTCCTTCCATATTTATTCAGAATGTGTCAGGGTTCTACGCAGAAATAGATGGAGCAAAAAAGGAATTGCAAGAAAAAATAGCCAATCTGTCTCTGTTTGATGATAAGCTGGAAGAAAAGGCTATGCAGCATGCACATAACCTAAGAAGACTTGCTGATGAGTTGGACCGGTAAAATATAACTTCAGCAGACTCTGTTCATACAAGTGCTAATTATTGAACAGCTGAATGAACTGAGACAAGCAGAAACACAGTGACAATAGATACACTGGCTGTAAATAGGCACTAAACAAATTGCTGGGAACTCATGTATGGAAAGAACTTTCATGGTCCAGAGGGAAAATCTGAATTTGAGCAAAACAAAATCTATTCATCTTCTCAAAGCATAAACAAACGTATCTTGTGTGATATTCTTCTCTTTCTAATTTGGCACGTTCTCCTCTTGCCATAGCATGAGAATAGAAAAGGCAAACTACTGAAAAGTAATACAATACAGGCAGATTAAATGGGGCTGTCAGATACTGCTTTTGTCAATGACTTATTTCATATTAAAAAATGTTTTTGTAGGATGGGCCATAAAACGGGATTTGTGATAATTTTTGTTTAAGAAGTGGTTTACAGATGGAATATTTCTTAAAGTGTATATTGTGCTTCAGTGAAACAAGCCCTCTGTAATACCAAAAATTTACTGCAGGACTTCCTACTTTGCTGGCAAACAGACTTTCCTTCAATTTACTAAAAAGTCACTCTAAGCAGATTTGAAATATGACTTTATTTGCAACTGGTACTACACATGAAAAAATCACTGCTGCAAGTGATTTCTTAAAGAAAATGCTTCACCAAATTCTACCTTAAGTAACATAATGAACATACATTTTCAGAGGATAAAGTGTTACAACTACGCATCAAGCATATTATCTAAATACCAGTTGTTTCTTAATATTAGTACACACTGGATAGGAGATTTAAACAGTGAAAAAATAACAGATGGCTTTCCTTTATGTACTGTACAAAGCTGATATCTGAAACTCTTGTTCTATAATGCTACACAAACTACAGACAACCTAGAAAGTGAACAATATGTTCAGTCTGAGATCGCCTAGCTGGGGATAGTAGAATCACTTGAAAGAAAATATCCCATATGGCTAACCTTCATCCTTTCCTAAAATAATTTTAAAATGACTACCAACTCCAATATATCAGGAATTTAATATAAAATGAGCAGAAATAATTGCAAAATATCCAGATGGAAATGTGCTGACTCTTAATTTTTGAGAAGATTGTCCTGCAGTGAAACTTTAATCCTTTAAAACGTTTAGCCTATCTTCAAATCATTATGTTGTTCTTCGGTTGATTGGTTGTTTTTTGTTGTTGTTGTTGTTTGTTCTTTAATGGGTTTACTTTATAAACTTGTTAGGCTTTTTTGTTGTTGAAGTTTATTTGGGGGGGAATATAGCAGAAAATTCTTACAACAGTACTGGTAACTGGAAAATTGTTATGTCTTCAGTGTGCAAATACACTGAAGTAAATACACACAAGCAGATATAAATGTATATCTAATATTTATATAAATATATTCTCTGAATTCTGTTTATCACAAAAATATAGAAAAGAATGCTTACTTAAAGTTATTAATTGTTGAAGGCTCAGCCCTAAGCCAACTGTTTTGAATCTCCTCTGAAGACCATTTACCTCTTAATATGTACATCAAGCTCTACCATGCCAGCAAGACAACATTATATTTCTGAAATCAAACTTCTTGCAAAATTTCATGACCAGTGGATAGTTCTTCCTCTAATTCTCCCCCTTTTCCCATCTGCATTTGGAACATATAAACAATCTGTTGATACAGCTGTCCTGATCACTGGCACACACAGTTCTTTCCATTCACAGCCAGGGGTTATCTCCATAGAAGGACAACCATTGATCTGTTATTCTGTCTGTTTATGAAATATCTATCCAGATTTTTTAAAAAGATAAAAGCTTAGAAGTTACCTGTTACTGCTCACATAGATGTGAAGGCCAAATTCCCAGAGCTTTAGCAAGTTGGAAACCCCTGGGATGTATCTGCTATCCACATAGTTTTCTCCTGCTTTAAATTGGCATGGATGGTCATACTCAATGAAGAGAATACACATCAGGCCAAATATATTTATGTTCAAAATTATATAGCCAAAATTCATAGAATGTTAAGAAAGCTAATCAATTTGAAACTAATTTGATGCAGTTTGGTTTCTTTCTCTGTTTACTCTGTTTTTAACAGGAATTTACATGGTGTTGATACAAATGGATTGGTACAAAGGGCAATAAATGCTTCAAATGTATATGAAAACATTGCTGGTTATATTGAAGAAGCTAATAAAGCTGCTTTGCTGGCACTGAACACAACAAACCGGGTCAATGATGTAAGTAGTTGTCATAACACCAGCATTTACTTTGCAATGCTACGGGGGCTTTGAACACTAAGTATCAAGAAAAAACAAGATCTAGCTTCATTGTCCGCATCAAAGTTCTCACTGCACATTTTGCTTCATATGTTATTTCCTGAATTAAATCCTAGGTGGTCAATCATTCTGCCTGTCTACATTCCCCTGTAATTTACAAAGAAGCAATAGGGCCTTCCTGTCAATGAGCACAGGGAGATGCTTCTTTGTCCTGCCACTCAACCTGAGACAGTCCTGTAAAAGTGCAGACAACACCCTAGCCCTGTAGGAACCCTGAACTGATGATGGGTGCTTGAGTCCTCCTATTCCACACAGTACCAGGTGGAAGGAAAGGATCAGTGACAGGATCGTTGCTGTTTCTCATAGAAAGATAAAATGAGGCAAATAGCCCACTTGTATGCTCACTGCTTTAATGAAGATGCTGGTTTTGCCTTGGGCTTTACTGTTCTAAAATATTTTATTTCCTTTTTTATGTTTATAATTTTAAAAGGCTTTAGTAGCAATTTATTAGTGGGATAGAAAGAGGAACTGGTTGAATTGCAGGGACCAGATGCCTAGGGATTTTGAGTCCGGTCCTCTGCTTACAGTGTGCTAATGGGGACTGGAAACAGTTCCCCACACAGCACATGTTCATCACCTGATAGAGTCAACAGTCGAAACAAACACAATGCCTAACTAACATGCAGAATGAATACCAAGTTGGTATATTAGAGCTGATAAATTAAGAGGACTCCTGTGATTTCTGCGTCTTTATTGCTCTCTGAAAAGTACATATTTCTCTAAGCTTTTATTACAGCCTATAGGAAATTTTCCTTTTAATCTTCTTTTTGTATTCCAGTTGCCAATCTTAAATGCTAACAAGAAAAATGAAACTGCTGTTGACTTTGAAGTTATATTTATATCAAACAATACATTGTCTACAATTATACACATTAAAAGGAAACATTTGGTAAATATTATTTTGACTTTCTTTTTTGAAATATATTTGCAGGCTGCAGTTGGAATTGATACTCAGATCATTTACCATAGAGGTAAAAGTGAAGAACTTCTCAGCCGAGCCATGGAGCTACAACAGACAGCAGCTTACAGTAAATATACAGTTTATTTCATTTACAAAAGGACCATTTGAGATATATCCACTGTTTAAATATCTGCACCCATAAACAATTTTTTCACGTGTAAATATACTCAGTTAAGTAGTTGACTGAAATCAATTCACAACAGTTTAAGCATTCAGGAATCTGGATTTCTTCAGCATTGGATAATAATAAATGTTAAAAGATTTTGACTTTTTTTTTTTTTTCACTGAAAACGAATGATAATACTAAAATTACAGAAATGACCTCTTCAATTTTTCAGGATCTTTTGAGTTTCTTAGACTTTCTCCTGTGTAAGTTTGGAATTACTCTGCACAATGAGAGTTGGCACTGACTGAGTTAAGGCAAATAATGGCTTATGACTTTAAATTATATAAAGTCAAGAGTGCTACTGTAGCGTACACTAAAAATGTCTTAGGATACTACCTATGGTATATTAAAAGCTTAGTAACATAGCTCAGTAGGAGAAAATTTATCTTTTTAAAATGCTACTTTGATATCATTCAATTATATCTCCTAATTTCTCCCCACAGGTAATGATTTAACCATTGCAGACACCAGCCGTCATGTCAATGGCACTGCAGCACGAATGCATGCTGTGCAAAGCAAACTGATGAGAGCCATCACAAAAATGCAATCAGCAGAACTAGGTTGTAAGAAATCTCATTTTATGATTCTTTGCCTTCAGATGCTTTACACCACATCTTATCTTTGCATATGGCCTATGAAGTTGATATTAAGATTTCAGTTCCAGGGAGACTCAAACAAATTTGATGGAAATGACAAGACATAATCAATACCAATCCATCTTTAATGTATTCATGATAAAATTACACATTTTTTCCATCAGAAATTACTAACATTTGTTTTGATTCTCCTTCCTACAATTGTTCTCTCCCATTTAACTCGATTTTTGTGGGCTTGAAGAATTTACAAATCTGTGGATTTACACTATTGATTGTCAAAATCTAATTCTCATATAATCACATACAGAGTATTTGGGAGATTAATTACTGACAGTCTTGATTGACAAAATCTCACTTTAGTTTCTCAGAAAACAGACATCATAAAGCATCCAGCCCATACCCAAAGATGTTCAAAGTTGACATATTCAAGAATTCTCCATTAATTCCTATTTTTGCTTTTTACTACTGAGATATCATATGCAAAATGCCATGATCTTGGAAATACAGTCCTTGGTAACTCAAAAAAAAAAAAAAAAAAAAAAATACTGGGTATAACGAAAGCATTTTAGTGCCTTGGATTTCTCTCCATGGAAAATAACTTTCATGAAAAAAGTTCAGTCTTTACATAAATTTTCTTTTAAAACACAAAGAAAATCAGAATATCCTTGGCTACGCAACAACCTTCAAAATCCAAGGATATTGAAAACCTTTATCAATCCAGAACTATGAGGAAATAATGATTTGTTACATTTAAAGAATTAATGTAATGGTAGACCACCCACTAGGACTTTTGAGTATTCCTTGTGGAAACAAAGAGAAGACCAAATAAGCAAGGTTGGATCTCCACTCTGCAGAAGATAAAATCCTCTTAATCTCATCACTTTTGAAGTGCAGGCAACAGCTCATTTGAAACTCTGTCAGTGTTCATTTCCTCTCATCCCCTGTTTATTTTATTATGTAGTGGAGGCCAGACAGCGCTTGGAGCAAGCTAAACAGAAGACTGCAGAGGCTGTTAGCACTACTGTGACAGTAACAGAGGCTACAACTCCCATGGACGAGAATGTGAGGTTGTGGTCTCAGAACCTGCAAGACTTCCAGCATGACTCAGCTGCCTATGACAGCGCCGTGCACTCAGCTGGGGATGCAGGTACAGCAGCCTGAGTTTTGCTATTCTGTAGTATTAAAATGGAAGGGAATCATTGCGGCATCGTGCTGTGCAAATTGTTTACACTGCATTTTCATTGCTTATAATTTTACAGAATTTTATCTATAGGACATGAACATTCTAAAAATGACTTAAACACTTAAGGGCTGAAGTCATATTGGCTTCTAAGTCAGTTTTATTAGGGTAGCAAGGTCACACTGAAAAGTGGACAGATTATTTACATACTTCTTTTCATTATGATACATGGTTCAGCTATTGTTTCTGTAACATTGGGAGGCATTTAAAAACAGAGCTGTTCTATCCTCAGTGGTACAAACATAGAGTTGAAAAAGTCCCTGATTTGATAAGCTTGTAGTCTAAGCAAAGGAGTCAAAGAGGAATAAGGAGGAAATACAATATTTAAGGATGATGATTGCTAGAAAAGCTTGTAAACATTACATCAATCCTTTTATTAGGAAGGGCAAGGAGGAAGAATAGAGAACAAATGTGAGGGTTTATTAGGAAGAATGTAGAGTACCAACAATAAAAGGAGACTGCACTGGAAGTGCTCCAGTTAGATGTGGCTGTGATTCACAGCCTGAGAAGACAGATGCTGACTCGTCTGGGGGCAGCAGAGTACTTTCAGATCAGCTGTGTGCATTGCCAGGAGTGGGTGACCCGGAAACAGGAATATCCATCAGAGCCCAAGAAGTATTGAAAGATGTTCAGCCAGGTGCCTGCACCAGCATACCAATAACACTGCTACAGCAGAGAAAACCTCTAAGCTGATTTGCCCAAACTTCCCTTGACCGAAGCTTGCATGGCATTTTTGGAAGGGTAAGAACATGTCATGGCTGTGGTGTTTGAGAATACTTAACCTGTTGCCATTGTGCAGGGAATTGATGATTTTCAGCAAAGGCTGAAGTGTAGTTTGGGAAAGAAAACACTAAAAGAGAAAGTATCTGGAAAGTTATAGTCAAGATGTTTCCTACTTCACAGTTTGCCTTCTGTTCTTTTTTTTGTGTTGTGTGACTAGGAAAGACTCATTTTTACTTTTATTCCAAAGACTAAAAAATCATCATTCTTCTTTGTTAAAGAATGCTATATAAGAATAAAAAGAAGAGGTTTATGGCAAGATTTTACTAGAAGTAACAGATGACAGTTAGGAGCTTTCGTATCACAGCTGTGTTTCCATCTTCGTATCTCAAATTTCAAACAGACAAAAAGCCAATTTTTCAAGATATCTGATCAAGTACAGTTACAATTCAGTTGGTGGTTTAAAACAAAACAAGCAACAACAAAAAAGGGATGCTTGAAATTTGCTGTATCACTTTCTGAGCTTGGAAGTTTTTATTTTAACTGTAAAGAGGACTTTTTTTTCTAAGTGATTATTGTGATATGCTTCATTTCAAAAGGCAGAGCAAACTTTCTGCAAGAGAATTAATATACTGTGGAGTTGTTTTGTTGTTTTTTTAACTAGAATGCTTAATGCAGTCTGGAAATAATGTGTTACTTCAATTCAGTGTGCTTCTTGAGGACTTGTTGAAAAAATGTCACTTTTTATATACAGAAAGGCTTAATGCAATATATGATTCTATATCAGGTCTTTCAGGACTTAAGGAAAATAACTGGAGAACCTAAAGTTCTTCACAGCTCACTCCTACACTGAACTTGGAGAGAAAAAACACACGTGAAAAGAAGCAGAGGGAGAGCAAGGTTGTGGCAAATACAGCTTTCTGCTCTGCCCAAAGGGAAGCAGGCTGTATAGGACTCCATGGGATCTTCTAATACTCTGTGCTACTCTGAGTGAAGCTGAGAGCTGTTTCAGTCTGTAGTCAGCATGGAACAGAGAGCATAGAATAGAATTTTTTTTCCTTTTTTTATAATGATATTACAGCTGATTTAGGTTCTCTGCCTATCTCTCTATCTTTTCAGACAAGAGTAAAAATACGAGAGGAACACAAGAACAAGTGGATGCAAGTTGATAACCCTTAAAACATAACTAAGAACCTGACAAATCAGATCTTAACCTTAGCAGTGAATCCATGTCATTAAAAATTAACTATGAATACTGGATCTTTCTTGTATGCATGAAGCTTGTGGCTAAAATCACATTTAATTATACTCAGCTACTTATACCTATACTTAATTAGAGATGAACAATGATGTGATGTGTAAATATCCTTCAAAGGGCAGCATGTCAGTGGAATCCAATGTGACAAAACTGGATTATCATTAGGAGTAGTTCTTTTCCTTTCTCTGTAATTTCTCTGCTTATCTTTCTGCCTTTGAACACATTAAGGCAGACACATTTCCCTTTGACCACCATCCTTCTCCCACACATACCAAGAGACATTGCAGCAAAAGACTGGAAGCACAGGACTGTGATTCATGACCTTGTCATACGTAGACAGGAAAGCTGAGGAGTCTGGGACATATAGTAAGTACAGTTTAGGTGCACATTCATCATCTTCTGAGCTTCTCTGCCATTGTACAGCACAAAGCTTTTACCACAGGCTGAAAGCAGCAATGTTTCTGTTAGCACAGTGGGCTACTACATCACTCCACAGCTGTTGCTCCTATGTGGGTGGAGAAATGCACAGCTGAGAGCAGAAGGAAGCAACCTGTTCGGGTCCTCTAAACTGAATCTGAAAAGCTCATGAGCCTCTCTGAAATTCCCAGGTCAGCCACAGATCTCGAGTGAGATGCCAAACAACTAATCCTTCTGCTCCAGTTGCCATATCTGTAAGATTGGGTTTAACATTTATCTGCCTTGAAGGAAGATGAAAAGGTTAAAATGATTAACATTTACAAAGCTCCTTTAGAAAAATGGTACACAGGTACAACACCATAGTAGTTACTAGAAGTCCCATGAAAAAAAAATAGCTGTATTTGTGCAAAGCAAAAAATAAAATTTTTCTTCCAAACACTTTTGCACATCCTAAATCCTGGTAAGACACTAACCTTTCTGAAATCAATGATTCTCACACACCACACCTAGGACTTGTTCTGAAAGTACAAGGAGATAGGCGGGTTGATGAGTGCAAGGAGCAATTTTCCTAGTGCAAAACTGGTGTTGCAAAGAGGAAGAAAACAAGCTGTCACTTCTTTTCTAACTGCAGTGAAGAAACTTACGGAAGTCTTCCCTCAACTCCTGGATAAACTGCGCAAAGTAGAACAGAAGGCACCAGCAAACAATATTTCTTCCAGCATTCAGCGGATCAGAGACTTGATTGCCCAAACCAGGAGCGTGGCAAGCAAGGTAAAACTTTGAGATGGGGTATTTGGTTACTAGTGCTAATTATATAAAATATACATCTTCCCAGGAGCTTTATTTTCTTGGGCTATGTCTGAAGACTGAACCTTGAAATCTCCTCCAACTACATAAACAAAATATGTGAAAGTCAATAAAATATTTGCAATTCATATTTACAAGCAATTAATATTACCATAGTGTTCACTGTAGGCTGGTTCGACTGGGATAGCAACTTTAGTTAAGTGATAGGCACAGTGTTAATGATGGCCACTGTAAAAGAACCATTTACAGGTAAAACTAATAGTTCATCACTCACCTAGCAGTATTTGTTAGATGCAGAAGTAATTATGGCAACATAACACAAACTCTCTTCAGTTGAGAGTATTCCTTTTTTTTTCTTGTGAATTAATTTTCTGCAGAGTAGGAGAATCTTTAACTCATGCATATTTAATAGAGAAAAATGCTTTCGTTTTCATACATTAATTATGAAGGATTTTTCTGTAACAAGAACACTGAGGTCAAAAATTAAAATAATATATTTGAGTTAATTCACAAAAATCAAAAATTCAGTTCATTATTATGTGCTCACAATGCTGTCCAGGTACTTGCTTTAAAAAAAAAAAAAAAAAGGCAACATTCATCTGGTATGTGAGTACATGGGAACTGTTTGACTTTCTTTAAAGGTCTTTCATCATTCAGGAATATATTGCTTAAACTTGGAAACATTACTGCATTTATGTTGAAGTTCATATTTCATTTTGAAATCAAATGTTTTAAAATTTGATTAGCATCTTCTATATGTCACTGTAACTTCAATAATAAAACAGGATTACTCATTAACATATAACAATAAGAAAATTGGCCATAGTACTCCCAAAGCAAAGAAAAATTACAGGTAGAAGTTTTATAGCCCTGTAGGAACTTCATTATGGTCTGTACCTTGCAATGTAGCCCTAATTCAACTAAGCACACAACAATGTCCCACTGAAATTTAAATTACATTAAGAATATTATTAAACATATTCCAACTTAATATTAATATTCTTAAGCATAGTTAATGAGGAGTTTCAATTAGTTTAATTTATTATCTTCTTTTTACAGCATCTTCCATAAGTGATTGTTATAAAATCCTGAATAGCACCTACATATGTGCTGATTTTATTCTAGTAGTAAGAGAGGCTACTGACCAAGATTTCTCGCACATTTACCTCAAGTAATTTCTACAGGCAGCAATAATGTGTCTCACTTAGCACACTTGCAACTGCAGGTCCAGGTTTCTATGATGTTTGGAGGTGAATCAGCTGTTGAAGTCAATCCAAAGATCAACGTGGAGGAACTGAAGTCTTTCACTTCCATGAGCTTGTATATAAAGCTTCAGAAAGACAACCCACAACTGACAGCGTCTCCAGACAGATTCATTTTGTACCTTGGAAACAAAAATGTAAGAGAATAGCCCAGTTAATTTATATATATATATATATAAATGTTGCAATAGGTTTGAAGTTTATTTGCCCTTGTTTATTCCTCTCACTTTCTCAAAATACGAGGTGTCTACTATCAGCTGATTTTAAAACTGCCACTGACTTAGAGCAAAGCAAAGTGCAAGGGCTTCCAATACCCCAGCACTCCTGTCCCTGTAACTTGTCACTGCAAGCAATGAAGGGTTCTCTCCAACAGGCAAATTGGGCTGCCTATGCAGCATGCCACTGCTGGGAGCTTCACTTGCCCATTTGAACTGCCGGTACTGAGCAGCTACCATTACTCATCATGCTTTTTTTGTGGGCCACAATTTAACCAGGTTTATGTTGCTGACAGTGACAATTCCAAACTTTCAAGTTCAGAAGTCCATAAGCTAAGAAGGCTCTTTGCCTGAGGCTTGTGCTGCTGCTGTACACCTGTACTTCACTGCTTTGAAACACTTAGAAATGGCATATGCTCTCACTACCTGCAAGTGTTGTGAAAGAGTTGCTCATTAAATTGTGATTCCTGAAAGAAGAAAAATCGCATCTCACAAGCCAAGTAGAATCCTGACAAGGTCTTAGCTGAGAAGGGTAAAACAGCATGCTTTTCTTTTTAAACTTTTCTAAAAAGAATATCTACTGAATATAAATTAAGAGAAACCCCTCCTGGTAGGAGAATTATTTGCATCATAGTACCTAGGCTTCAGACAAATTTTTCTTCTTCAAATATTTAACACCTATGCACAGTAAATACTGATAAGTAACTTCTCATTAAACATGACCAATTTGCAGTCAGTAAAAATCTTATGACCTTGTATTTTCCTGATTCAAAATGGATAAAACATCAGAGGTTTTTTTCTGTGCAGTGAAGGAAACTAATTAGAGAATTAAGATTTTTAATTATATTTTTATATATTTATATAATATACAAAATATAAATATAATATGTAAGATTACAAATATAAATACATTATATAAGGTATATATTATTTTAATAGAATATGTATGAAACCTTATTTTTAAAGCCTTCATTTTGTCTTATATAGCCCAATACTTTACCAGTGCTCTGCAATAAATCTGTTTTGATGTTGTAGCTCTGACATCCTTCTCCACTGATGTTTTAGGCTAAAAATTACGTGGGACTGGCAATTAAAAATGACAACCTTGTCTACATTTATAATCTGGGAAACCAAGATGTGGAAATACCTCTGGACTCCAAGCCAGTCAGCACCTGGCCTTCTTACTTCAGCATCATCAAAATTGAGAGGTATACGGACAACGTACATTTCACCAAATTCAAACAGCTTCAAAGAAAGGAAACAATCAAATAAATACACAAATAACCAGAAAAGTCCCAGAATTGCCCATTAGTAATCTTAAGTGTCTGGTTCTATCCCTGCTGAAATAAATGGAAATTTGCTTTGCTTTTAGAGAGCCAGGACCTATGGGGACATGAAAGGGAAGGGAAAGCGTCTGTAATTTTTCTGTTTCTTTCCCTGTAGAATACCAGTCTTCTAACAAGGGAAAGAAGAAAAAAAAAAAAAAAAACTTTCCTGGAGCTGGAGGCTTGCTGCTGTTGTTTGTGGGTTTCCGTGTTGTTTTTTAGTGTTTTTTTTTTTAAGTCTAGCAAACACAGAACTCTCTTCTCTTACAATTTCCTTCTGCAGGATTGGAAGACATGGCAAAATGTTTTTAACTATACCAAGTCTTAGCAGCACATCAGAAGAAAAATTTATCAAAACAGGAGAGTCTCTTGGTCCTAGCTCTCTCCTAAATTTGGAACCTGAAAATACTGTTTTCTACGTTGGTGGAGCACCTCCAGACTTCAAGGTTGGTCAGATAAATACTTTATATTCAGAGCTTAAATAATACAAACCTATCTTGCTGAGCTTCCCTTTTAACACAGAAATGGCTAGAAAATGAAATGTCCTTATTTAGTCATTTATTATCCTAGGACTATCTCTTCTCTCTACTGCAAAAATTACTACCTTCTCCAGCATATCATGTCATAAAGGGATGATCAGATTCCTAGTAGCTATCAGTAAAGTTTTTTGAAAAGTAATAATAAAAGTGATTTTTTTAAAAAATTAAATTGCATAAATCAAGGCCTGGTATCCCAGCTCAAAAGGGCTACTTGGTTTGCAGGCTACTCATTTTTTTTTAAATGCTGATAAAGCTTTGGTACTTAACAATTTTTCTTTCAGAAAAAATGAAAGGTAACATACCATTAATACTAGCATGGTGTAGCAAACTTCTGATGCACTGATTTGTTCAAATTTACATTATCAGTGGTTTAAATCTAGCCTTGCAGTGACGTGAAGACTTGTCTGTGCAATACATATCTGAGGACTTGCAGGAGGTAGATGCCTCTGCCTGGGTTTTAAAGGATTGCACCCACCTGATCACAGTCAGGATGAGCTAGCACCTCATTTACCTGTCTCTGTGAGGCAACTTTTTGGATTTAGAAAATGTTATGAATGATCTTATTCTTAATAGAAAATGTATCACATAACCACTGGATACCTCAAACTTAAAATAATTTAATAGAATAGTAGAAGAAAAAAAAAAAAAAAAACCAAACAAAAAAAAAAAACAAGATACTTTGCAAAAGCACAGGTTCTGTGCTGCAGATGAGGATCTCACTTTCTCTTACAGCTACGTATGTTCTGTATACTGTGGCTATTTAAATTCCATTTGCAGTGACCTTTGTTAAAAGAAGGAGTTTCTATATCCTGATAACTGTTTAAAATAATACCTGCTGAGGCTTAGACACTGGTACAGTCTTTGAATCCAAGTATCCTGAGTTTAAAGTGCTCTTTCATTCTTTCTCTTTCGTCATGGTAGGAAATTATTTTTCAAGGAATAAAGGATGTCTATACATTAGACATGAAATATCTTTTGACAGATTCAAGTACTTCAAGCAAGATTTGGGATTAGTCAAATCCTAACTCTTCTTTTTTCCAAGTGCACTCCCTTCAAAACTACCAAACTACAGAAAAAGTCCTTGCCTCACCTGCCCCAATCTACTCTCTGTAAGGACATCTTTATGCTCCATTTCCTCTTTTTTCATGTATGGAATATTATGGCTAGTGCTGTATCATGATAAGGACTGCAATGACTATTCAAAGGCAGCAATATCCCATTTTTTCACAATATGAGGAGTAGAGAGAAAAAGCTGATCCCAGACACAAATGTTTTCATGATAACCCAAATAAGGCATATGTCCCTTTACTTCTCTCTTTCTGCACAGCTCCCTCCCAGCTTAGACTTGCCTGGCTTCATCGGCTGCCTGGAGCTGGCTACCCTGAACGACGATGTGATCAGCCTGTACAACTTCAAGCACGCCTACAACATCGACACCACCACATCGCCACCTTGTGCCAGGTAGGTGACAGTCCCGCCATCAATCCTCGTTTGTAGGAAGTGCCACTCCTGATAGTTCCAATCTGTTTCAGAAGACAGATGGGAAGGTGATGCCGAGTTGTCCAGAAGGAAGTTTGCCATTGTTAATTCCTAGTTGTGTCAAGAAGCTGAACTTAGATATTTTCTCTCCATTAATTGTCTCAGAACCTTGTTTCTGCTTTAGAAATGGAAGTGTGGAGAGAGTGTTTCAGCTATTCCATGAGGCAGAGGCTAGATTCCCACTTTCCATGGACTGCTTGTCAAGATCAGGGTTTCTCCTGCCTTAAATCCCTTCCCTGTAAGTGATATGGCCACAACCAGTTAGCTCCAGCAGGCCTGGTAAATTTGAGTGCACTCCCACACCCAGCTAACAAAGTCAGTATAGAAGTTACCTTTCAGCCATACACTCTGAAACAGTACAAATCCCCCAGATAAGCCACACACACACAGGGAAATGTGGTCCCCAAAGTAGAAGGGAACATTTACCACAGCATTTGTTTGGCACAGGCATGAGTGGGCATCTTGTTCATACAACACAAGGGTCTCTCTATATATAAAACTAGAGAGAAACTTTTAGCTTTCACTGCAAGGGAACTGCAGAGGCACCAGGAGCTGAGAGCTGCTGCCCTTCACATCAGTGCATGTGGCCCATTCCTTGTCTCTCCAGAGGGGCCCATTCTCAGTTAAAGGCCATGGAGAATTCAAATGGATTTCTGCACAAACCAAACCACCTCTTAATAAAAATATATGTATATCCTTATAATAAGGAAGTGTAATTACCCTTATGAGGATCAGCAAAAAATTTTCCTGTCCTTTACATACAACATAGAATAAAAGCACAATCTGATGACAAAGGAGTTAGATGCACCTTCAAATCTATACATTTCAGAAAAAAATTCCCAGAAAGAATTTGAAAGAAAAAGTCACCAGTCTCATCACTTCCAGGAGAAAGCATTGGTTCAGAATAATAATTTCAAGAGAGTACTTTAATTATAAAGGCCCTTAATTTCTCCGAATGCAAATGGTGACCATAGTGCTGATGCTGTCAATTTTTGCTTCCCTGATTGTTTTTTCATAGAAATAAGTTGGCTTTCACTCAGAGTCGAGCTGTGAGTTATTTCTTTGATGGTTCTGGCTATGCCGTGGCAAGAAATATTGAGAGGAGGGGAAGATTCAGCCAGGTGACACGGTTTGACATTGAAGTTCGAACACCTACAGACAATGGATTGATCCTGCTGATGGTTAATGGAGTGAGTATCAGATTCTTCTGGTACCCTTTAGCAATAAGTAACACCAGTTCTCTAGTACTTGCAATATCATGGGAAATACAAAATATTTTAATTATGGAAAGAGGTAATACCTTTGTGTTTCTCTGGTACATATATACATTGGGAGAGAACTGGCATTTGCTTTGCAGTAAGTAGAGCTGGACTCTGCTCTCATCCACAGACATTAATGACTTTCAAGTGGTAATGCCACTGTGATGACCCTGTGATGATACACTACTTAAGATCAGGAGTTGTATCTTTGTTCAAATGCGAATGTACATTCAAATCTATAGAAAATTTCTGTGAAGTAGCTCCTATAAAACAGTCATTTTGTGGTAGCTGTCGCTTTATAGCTGTGTCTCTGGGAGTGCTAGTGCTAAATAGTTATTTAAGTTACTGAATATAGAAAGTAACACAAAAAAAAATAGCTAGATCCAGATATTTTCAGATGTTTGATGGTGATGCAAACTCTGAAATGGTTTAAAGAAAGAAGACTATATGCAAATGTCCTCTGAAGACAAGCTCAGATTTTTTATTTGTCTTTTGGCATCTCCACATCAGGCTCCCAAGTTCTTTGTGGATTACAGCTTGATAAAGCCACAGAAAACAATGTACTATGTTAATGCATACCACAGACATACATTGGTCTGCACACCAGCATGAGTATTCAGAAGGCAACAAATCCATCCTCAGAACAGAGTTACTTTCTATTTTTCACCTTAACTTGCACAAGAGAGCTGTGGAGAGAGATTTGCTCTGCAGCATAGCATGCCACTACTAACCTTTGCCCTTAGGAGAATCTAGACTAAGCAACTGCTGGTCAAAGCTTTACTGCCTCAATTGCAGATCTTCTAAGCAAAAATGCATGGAGATTTGTTGGACAAGTGCACTTTGTATGTTACAGTGATCTATGTGATTTATGGAAGACCGTGCTTACTCACAGACACTTATAGAAAGATTTTGTAAACTGCCCCATTATTCCATTCTGCAAGGACAGCTCATAATTACTGAAAATGTAATCCCTGCTTAATTTTCAAGTTTAAAGTTTTCAAAATAAACCCAAGCTGCATTTTCATTTAAAAGCACTAGATTAAGACCTACTTTTATTACTTCAAGTAATGACTTCTGAATGTGGAATAATTCAGAATAATTCAGAGACATTAGTCCATGGCCTGTAGTTGTTTTTAGAGTGTTATTGTTCCCATATCTCCTTTAAGTATGGGAACAGCATGCACACTAGAAGAGAACACAAACAGTAGCATTAAAAGCATTAGCCCAGATCCACAGTTGCTGTAAACTGTCATTTCTGCTTTTTTATGTTCAGATTCAGAAGGAGACAAAGTCTGTACCATAGATCTTCATTTCAAGCCCTCCCTAGAGGTTTCCTGGAGTAGAGCTTCTTTTTATAAAATGTAGGACACTCAACCACTGAAGAGAATCCAAACCAAGAAGTAGGAACAGTCAGGAGATCTAGAAACCAAATATACAGTAAATACACTCTACCTATTGCTCAGCCTTCAGCAAATATAATGATCAGGGCTGTGAAAAGATATGATGCTGTGCTATTTTAGGTATCTTGACAGAAGCTGCTGATGCAGCCCCAACTATTCTAGCACATCATTGTTTTTAACAAGATAGTATCTTTCCTTGGGGCATGTGCTATTACTGTGACAGAAAATAGATGTGTTCACATTACAAATACTTTGCTGGTGAAGAATATTGACACACCTGTTCGACTAAATGCAGTTTCTCCAGAAAATCATTTCACTAAGCCTTCAAAAACGTGGTGTTTATCAAGCAATTATGTATCTACGTACACACATACTATGAATTAATCCAGAAGCTCTGCTCTAGTTTTGGAAAAATATGACCTTTTTCTGAGTAGCCTGATGTTCACAATGTCAGATAGTCTCATTACACTGTTCATTTTTTTTAATTCCTGACACAATCATAGTGTTTTCCTGACTGTTTTCTTTTTGCTTGTTTGTTTGTTTTATGTAGAGTATGTTCTTCAGTCTAGAGATGCACAATGGATTTCTGTACCTCCGCTATGACTTTGGCTTCAGCACCGGCCCAGTGCTGCTAGAGGACTCCATGAAGAAGGCTCAGATTAATGATGCTAAATTTCATGAGGTAGAGATATGGGGTTACAGTCACAGCCATGTGATTAACTATATTGGCAGCTCCAAAGCAGCCATGATTTGCTCCAATTAGAAGAGGAAAAGGATGAGAAGCCAGGTAGTGATGCACAAGCAGGCAGAAGAGAAGAGTAGACACATACCTCACATGTGAAAGAGCACATCATTCCTGCCAGCACTGAGCCAGTTGTTGGGGTCTCTCCAAGAGTCCTGCTTGTGGACAGATTCTGCATACTGATAGACAAGAACAGGACTTTTCATGTGAAAAAAAAAGAAGCAGCAGCAGAGGAAAGTATTAGAATTCAGATTGAAATTATTGCAGTGAAGAATTGCATGCTTCAAATATACAATGCTCCTGAACTGAAAGCATGGCATGCTGTTAACTTGACTGCCTTAGTTATTATGCATTGTGTTACAAGAGGTATTGTATTTCCCATTTCATTCAAAGTAAGAGTTATTCAGGTAACAATCTTTTATATACAGACAGTATTTTAGGGATTTAGGCAGGTCATAAACACCAAGGTGTACTAGTTTTAAGAGATTTTACTTTAAGCCAATGTAACTGTGACAGTGGCAGTAGTAATAGCAAATTCCCCCTAGTGGCTTGTTGTAAATGTGATTCAATGTAAATTCAAACTATAGCAACAGCTACTGTTCTGCTTGAACTTTTTAAGCAGGGAAAAAATATGCTTTTATACTTGGACAATGCAATGAGGTTTTTTTAGAAGTCTGCCCTAACTTCTTGTAGAAATCAAGAAAGCACTGCAAAGTTGATGGAGTTTATCTGCTTGGTGCAGAGTAGAATTTGGTATGGGGGTAGTTTTGTATGAATTTAATCATAAGTGAAGTATCCTGTTTCTTCAAGAATTAGAGAAATGGTGACATCAAAATAAGTTCCTTATTAGAATTGACAGCCCATCCTATTTTACAAACAACGTTTTTGATAAATGAAAATAACTGTTAAAACAAAAAGACATAAAGATATTATTGATCTTGCAAAATCACCATGACAACTTACCAAAGATGACATTTTAGAAACTTTTAAGAACATGTTTTTTCTTTTCAGATTTCTATTATATATCATAATTCTAAGAAGATGATCTTGGTAGTAGACAGACGACATATAAAAAGTGTTGACAATGAAAGAACAGCAATGCCATTCACAGACATCTACATTGGAGGAGCACCTGCTGAGATCTTACAGTCCAGGTTGGTTTACAGCTGGGATTTAGTCATTATCTTCATGTAATTTAAGTGACATGTGCTGAAAGGCTTACAGTGTATCACTGTTGTTTCTCAGGAAGCACTTCTTTAATGTGCAGGTGAGTGTCCAGGACGGTTACAGAGTCTCTCTCCTTGAAAAGACTTGAAAGCCTCCTAGACATGGTCCTAGGGAAGCATCTCTAGGTGTCTATGCTTGAGCAGGGGTTGGACCAGAGATCTCTTCTAACTTTATTCCCTCTGTGATTCTGTGTTTTTCCTAGCTTCAGCACCTTATGTGAAACAACTCTTAGGACAAACTTCAAAGGTTTTTTTCAGAGTTCTACAACACCAAAGATTAGAATGGATCCTGCACAGCTACATTCTGCTGAAACTGGTCCTGTTTCAGTTAGGTTACAGAAACCACTATCTTCTTAAGATAAAAAGGCAATTCCAAACACATAGAATCACAGAATCACAGAATGGCCCAGGTTGGAAGGGACCTCAAAGATCATGAATCTCCAACCCCCCTGCCACATGCAGGGCCACCAACCTCTCCATTTAATACTAGACCAGGCAGCCCAAGGCCCCATCCAGTGTGGCCTTGAACACCTCCAGGGACGGGGCATCCACAACCTCTCTGGGCAGCCTATTCCAGCACCTCACCACTCTCTCTGTAAAGAACTTCCTCCTGACATCCAACTTAAATCTTCCCTTCCTCATCTTAAAACCATTTCCCCTTGTCCTGCTGTTATCTACCCTTTCAAAGAGTTGATTCCCCTCCTGTTTATAGGCTTCCTTTAGGTACTGAAAGGCTGCAATGAGGTCATCCCACAGCCTTCTTTTCTCCAGGCTGAACAAGCCCAGTTCCCTCAGCCTGTCTTTGTAGGGGACATGCATGAATATGTAGAATCATTATTTCTTCTCACTGTGCAAAAGTATCTTTGAAATAAAAATGCATTAGCTGAAGGATCAAAACCCTTCACCAACTGCATTTTCAAATCTAAAGATGGTATCTTTCCTACTATGCACATTAGTTCTGTTGAATCTTATTTTCTCTTTAGACTCAAGTCAGCTGGCTCTGAGTGGGTGTGGGAAGAAAATAAAAGTCTCATTTTCCTATCATTCCATTCGATAGAAGCCAAGCTTGATCCCAGTGAACCATAATACTCCAATTTACTGTAATGGTAATCCACCAAGACAGTGTCACATTCTGGGAGATCAGGGCAGATGCTTGAAGAAGGATGTGGAAATACACGTTCCCTACAGCTCAGAGATTCAAAAGGGTTCTAGCTGCTAACTAAAGAGTCACGACTGCTAACAGAAATACAGGTTCTCTTTAAAATAACCTTGATGTTTTTAAAAAAGAGAGGATAATAAATATTGCAGAATAATTACTAGGAATTACTGGTAAGTCTCCTGAAACCTTATTTTGTTTCCAGGAGACCCTTTTGTTGGAATTAATAAATAATGAGATGTAATGATTACACTTAAAGATAGGGACCCTGTAAAAGAAAATGATGCCTTTTGATCCCATGTAATTAATTGAACATGAAAATAAAATGGGGGATAAGGGAGAAGTAGCCTGTGCAATATTCATCGCTCTTCATAAAGGTTTATCATAAGGGCTACTGAAAAAACTGGTGGGTTGGAGGAAGGAAAGGCTGCATTGGATTATAAAATGCCTGGAAAAGGAAAACAGGACATAGTAGTAACTCCTCCATTTCTACACAATAGAAGTTCTACAGCACATGCCCAAAGGATCTCTCTTTGGGTCAATATTGAATACATGAATGATTTAGGGGAAAAAAAAGGTAAAAGGATGGTGAAAAATACTTTCGTTAATCAAGCCTAGAGAACACTGAAAACATCAGAAGGATGCAGAAATCCATGCAGTTGAGTAGCTCCATAGCAAGTTAAACTTGTTGACAAATGTAGGATACAAGATGAATCACATGAGTTACGTCCATAGTTTTCCCAGTGTATTGTGGTCAGTCTATAAAACACCTGGAAGATAATGTAAAGGAAGAAAAAGAACAAATGGTATCAGAGAAAAATAACAATAGACATTATGAAAATATGGTAAAATATTATAAAAATTGGAAATGTATAATGAAATGATTTACACAGAGCTACAGCTCTGCTTTGTATGTCATACCCACCTTTGTTCTCAAGAGAAGGCTAAACAGCAAAAAGTATGAATCAAATGTGGTGACAACTTTCCATTTCCAATGGGTGCATAGTTTGCTTTTAGAATTATGACACTGAAGAAATGCAACTATCTAGCTAGCTACTATTGATATCTATGTTTCCTTTTTTTAGGCAGATTGACATTTGACTGACACTGGGGTACAGCAGCAGGGCAAAAGTAGCTGTAAAGTTAAAGGAGAAGTTTAATTTTTCTTCAAAACAGTGTATTTTCCTTCATTTCAACAACACTATTTTTCTCTCACTTCACAAAGCAAACGCTTAAGTGGAGCTAGGAGTTCTGAGGGCTGGGAAATGTGAGAACAAATTCAGAAGACATTTTTCTTTGTCTTTAAACCTATCTTCTTCAGTTCGTTTGCTTCTAGAAAATATTATTAAGTTAATGGCCTGTTTGCAGCTTCTGCATCATCAGTCAGAGTAGAGACTAAATTGACTGACTGACACACCACACTTTGATCCACACACTGTGATTCAAATCCCAGTGAGAATGACTGGAGCCTTCCTGTTCATTTAGCCTTCCTGCTGATTTCACTGAGCAGCAGATTAAGCCCTGACATGCTCCCCCTCTCCCCTTATTTCAGACATGTGCATCTGAACTATTCAACTTGATGGTCCATTTTAGCCAGCGTAGAAAAGCAAATATTTCCAGAGCTTGATTCGTTTTTCATGTTTCCAATGCCTACCTTACAATGATATAAAGCATAGAAAACTATCACAGAAGCAGATGTCAGGACAATCAGTATTATCTCATGTGAGGTGAGAGCCCAGCTACTAGGAAGTCTTGTGGAAGGCACAAATACTGTCTACATGTTTGCCAAGTCAAAACCCTGAATTTCACATTCATTCCTTCAGTGTGTATTTGTTCCCTGTTATTATGTGTGAGATTGTAATATGAAGGCTGGATTTGAAATACATAGAGATTATCTCCTATGCTGATACCAAGTAAGCCCCATGTCATTTCCCTGCTCTGTCACAGACCCTCTGCAGTTTTTGGCAAATTTCTTCTTCTTCATACAGCTTGAATATTGTGAGGATAAATTCAGTGACATTTGTCCTGTGCTTTAATGCTGTTATATCTCAGTGAGGAGTGGAGTAGAAAAACTTTGAACAGCAAGCAATAGCAGCTGGGATACAGTGTTGGGCTATGCACCTCAAATACGGCGTAGAAAGTATCCTGGAAGCCCACCTACAGCTCTAATTTAAACCTATGTAAACCTATTCACCAGCAATCAGTATTTACTCTTACTTCCTTGACCTCTGTTATTCATTCTTGTTAAGAAATATGGATCCATTTGCTTCCCAGAATAAGAAAGGAGCTTGCCAGTAAAAGCAAGAAAGGAAAATTAAAATAGAACTTTTTTAAAATGATAAATGAAGACATAATTTATTTTTATCATAAGTGGGTACAAATCCATTTAGAAATATGTCCTTTTGTTTCAGCAACCACTTTTATCTTTTAAGTTACTCTGTACGTGTTTTCTCTCTGACTTCTCATATACTTCTCCCTGTAATATTTATTACAGCTGGTGCATCTTGACTTTTCAAAACCACTAATGTGGTTAAATAGCTGTTTTACATAAAGATGTAGGAATTAGGCATAAGTGAGGCAAATGACTGAAGCTCTTCCAAATTTTTTAGAACACCTTGGCAATAAATGTATATTCTGGAAGGCAAAAAAATGTAATTGGAGCTTGTTTGACATTGTTTCCCAACAGCATTAGTTCACATCTGGCAGGTATTATTGGCTTTAAAGGCTGCATGAAGGGTTTTCAGTTCCAAAAGAAGGATTTCAACTTGTTGGAAGAACCAGGAACCCTGGGAATCAGCTATGGGTGCCCTGAGGATTCACTGGTAAGCATAACTTAATTTGTGAGGTAATAATAAAATTTTGGCAATGGATACACTCATGAGCTTGTCTTTCACTCCAAACAATGGAAGGTAACACTTTCCAACACAAAAAAGGAAATGAAAACTAATTCATTCACTGTGTGTGTGTGTGTGTATGCACGCATGCTAAGTCTGCTGACATGCAATCTGATTTTCAGAGAGAATTGCAGCAGAAGGTACTTTATTTGATACTGTTATTATATGTGAGATTGTAATATGAAGGCTGGATTTGAAATATATTGTATGCTGTATTCTGAATGGAAATATTCTCTGGTAAATTAGTTTCTATTAAAGAAACAAGGAGAATTGTTCTCAAATGTGTCCTACTGCAGGTGTTTGGGATGAAAAAACAACAAGATATTCACCATTCTAATGAGTTACAAAAAAACCTTTTAAGTCAATCCAGCTCTACCTCTCTCATACACAGGCCAACTGCATCAACTTTAATACTAAGAAAATTGTCTTTTATTTTCTGATCCTTTCCGTCATTCATCATTTGTTCATTACAATGCAAGACTGGTAAATCTAAACAGTGTTTGTGGTCTTTATACTATGGCCATGACTATCTGAAGCCACATTGAGAATGCATGAAGATGAAGGAGCCCACCACTAGTACAATTCATTGCTCAATCTCACCTTCTATAAAGAGGAATGCAATTTGGCCAACTGCAATTTGTCCTATCTCAGACCCCGTTTTCCTTCTCTCTCAGAGGGCTGTAGACTGCCATGTCCAATCAGTCCCCCACACCAGAATTCAGTGCAACATGCTAGCATGCCAGAGTAGTTCTCAATGCCATAAACTTGGATAGAGGCTTAAGCCTCCTCTACTTCTAGGCTTCTTGCTCATTTTTAACATCAGCAGACTTAGGATGAGGCCAAGAATCACAGGAAACTAAAAGCAATTTGGCTTACACTGTTTAAAATATGTATACTTATGATTTTCACAGCATGCCAGGGAGAGCCTCTAAAGTTAGCTTAAGACATAGACAAAAAAAATGGAATTTTTATAGAAGAGCTGAACTGGCCAAGTCTTTAAAAGAAAAAAGAATAGCCTCATTCTTTTTATTATCTGAAAGTTTTATGAAGTTTACATGTAAATTTGTTTTATTTAATACACAGATATCTCGCAAAGCATATTTCAATGGAGAGAGCTTCATTGCATCAAGCCAAAAAGTGTCCCTCTTAAGTGAATTTGAAGGAGGCTTTAATTTCCGGACACTGCAGCCCAATGGGCTGCTGTTCTACTATACTGAAGGAGTGAGTACATCTTTCTTTGCTGTTTGTTTTATTTTTTCCTTTGGATTGTTTTCCAGGAGAATATTATGGGTATAATAAGAATTTCTCACTTCATCTTTTAATGATAGAGAAAGCAGTATAGGAGCATTCCTCAATGTACTCGTTTTCACAGTTCATATTTGATTCACAGATGAAACCCTGCAATGCCTAGACATTATTTTGATAGAAAGTGGATCTTACTGAACTGCAATCCCTATTTGGACCTGTAGATGCTACTAAAGTACAAATAATACTAAGGACCTGAAATTTTCCTTTCAGGGGCAACTCCCTACAAGCAAAGGCAGAAGTTTGGATTAATAGGATGTTATTCTGAGTATTGCAGAGTTTACAGAAACCAGTCAAAAAACTGCCCATATTCCCTGTACTTAGACATCCATGTGTGACCAGGAAAAGTTGAACCTGAGAATGGCTCATTGCAGCTATGGAAAGCCAAATCACCCCAAATATCCCCTTGAAGAAATGCCAGGGGCAGAAATATGGACTTGCACTCCCAAAATGTTGAATGAACCAGAGTGATTCCAGAATTCTGCACTTTCAGACCTGTATCAGCAGCACCCACGAGCTCAGATGACAGAACATTTGCAGCCATCTCGAAAGTCTTCTCTGCCATACTTGCAGAAAATCATAAGCAGTGCAGCAAGGAAGGCTGTATGACACCCATAACCACTTTTTACAGCATGGAATATTGCCTTAAATTGAAACCATGTTGGTTATCCATGCTGCTTGCATAAATGAGACTCTGTACACCACTTCTGCTTTTAACTCAAAAGCTCTAATCCTATGAGATGCCAAAGTGCCCTGTTTAAGAAATGGAGGTTCAGCAATTTAGTACTTGACAGAATGAGACAGTATGATTCCTCTGAGTGCACAGTGGCAGTGCTTGTGCTAATGAAACAGATAATATTCAAGCTATGTGGCACTCTGATCCTGTATGCCTGACCCAGATAAAGGATCATATCTCTAAGATAATTTTGAGTGACTGAACATGTCTGATTAGAGGGAATTAAGAAAAGAAAAAATGCATTGGCCTTATGACAGCGGTAATCTTGCTAAGAGCCAAGCTGCTCTGTATAGTACCACAGCAGTGGTGCCAGAAGCGCAAATGAAATGTAAACATCATACTTCCATGCTAGGTAGAAGAAGCTCTTTTGACAGATACATGAAACATAATCAACAGAATTCCCAGAATTGAGGCTTAAAAAACCACAGGAATGTCAATTTGAGATAATCTCCTGTTCTGGTTCTAAGTTTGTGCAAAAGACAGTAAAAAAAAAAGGGAAAATAGTGATAAGAAATCTCCTCAGCTGGAGAAAGTAAATCCAACAGGAAAATGTACAGAACTGTTAACTTTCCCATATTGTACTCACTCATGAAGATGTTTTCGTCTGTATTTCAGTCAGATGTATTATCCATCTCTATGGACAGAGGTGCTGTTGTTTTAAATGCAAGTGGAATCAAAATTCAATCACCAGACAGAAATTACAACGATGGAAAAACTCACTTTATCATTACTTCTGTCACACCAGAAAGGTAAAGCTGTCCAGCACCTTTTAATCCCTACCTTTAGAATATAAATACTTCATATAAAGTACATGTTAACACATAATATTTTCTTTCAAAGTAATGGGCTTTTCATTTATATTTTTAACTGATTAATTCGGTTTAAAAAAAAAATCAAAGCCAAAATCTCTGACTGAAATTTGCCCGGTGACCTGAATATGAGGTGCTGGGAATTGTTATTAAAACTAAAAGAAAAGAATTGTGGTTTTAAAAGCTTAGTCCTTTTTTGTCCTTAGGTATGAAAGCAGTTTAATATAATTAAAAAGGAGCATGAGATTCATTCTTCATCAGGATTGATTATTCTGATTTGTTAAAGCAATCCCAAATTGACTCTGAAATAGTTGAAGCATCTTCAGAAAAAGCATTCATTTGGGATATACAAAGTGGAACATATTTAAATCGTTTTTAGTACTGACAGATGCAAATGTTAGATTAGATATGGCAGTGGAGAATAAATCTATGTACCTGCTTATCAGAAAACTTGAAAGCATTGTTTCGTTGGTATGAATTTTACTGTTGCTTTCTGTGTTTAGAATTTTTTTAAGACAGTCCAATACTCAATCAATCTTTCTTCAAGAATCTTGCCTATGCAGATATAACCAGGTCATTCTCAGCTTCCTAACTGAAAGGAATGCTTGCACCTACGGTTTCTTACATCCAAAAAACACGGTTCAAAAAGATGCAAGTGAAAAAAAGGTGCCCCAGCACAGTGCTGAATGCTGTCATGTTTCACTGAGTGCCCTGAATTCTGAACTTGACAAATAAAATCCATGTTGAATGTTTTAGCTATACTCAGTTCCTTATTAAAGCAGCAGTACTCTTCCTGATACTTGCAGAAATTAAATGTTAGTTGCAAATTGATATTAGGTAAAGAACATTGTATGAGGTCAAATATCAATGTATTGTGATGAAAGAGAAGGAAAAAGGGACATAAAGAAGAAATAGTATGTGCTTAGGTCTTCTATTACCCAAACATTGGCTCAATCTATTTATTAGTAATCCCTTGGTTTATGTATCTTCAACTAGGTGGGCTGTATTTGTTTGGACTTCATATCCCTGCACCTTTGGACACGAGTTGCCTGTGGGCTAATTGCACTGATGCTTGTTGCACAGCTGGAAGCAGGAAGGTCTCTTCACGACTACAAAGCACTGCTATTCCATTATTTTATAAATTGAGCAGAACATTTTAGATGCATGTAATATGCTGTCTAATGACCAACATAGGCTTTTCCAAAATGAGCCTACAAAGTGGATGCTTTGTCTTTGCAGATATGAGCTGAGTGTTGATGACAAGAAACAAAGCAAGAAGAATCCAGTGAAGGACAGAGCAGGGAAAAGCCCTGACAGCATCAAGAAGTTCTATTTTGGTGGCTCTCCCCTCAAAACACAGCAAGCCAACTTCACTGGGTGCATAAGCAATGCATACTTCACTAGGTGTGTGGCATCCTCCCAAACACATTACCAGGCAATTGCTGCCTGACAGCTCGGGTTATAGCTCCAGAGAACTGATTTATTTTAACAATAAAAATCCCTCTCTCATTTTGTGAGGCTAGACAGTATGTGTGAATAAGTTTCTCACCTTATTTTCTATGGAATCTGTTGGCACAGACTTGGTAGGTTGTGATATTGTTGAAGTGGGAATAATTTGATGTAAATCAGTTTTCACTGTTGCACCTGCTAATGCTGTTTGTGCAATGTGGAATTTGCATAGCTTTCATTTACATTTATATGATGTAGCTTTCATCTCTGAAACAAAATGATGCTAAGATATCTCATGAACGCTGTTGAAATTAGGAGTTTAGTCATGTGAAAATGGTCCATATTTGTTGGCCTAATCACTTTAGGAAATGTTCTTATATGGAAGATTTTAAAGGGAAGTTGGTGTTGCAGATTCAGGCTCTCTGTTTTTGATAGGATGGATACATATAAGAGCAGTATAGCCTGCCCACAATACCCAAACACTGACTGATACATCTATCCTTTTATTCACAATCCAAGAATGAAAATAAGTCCATCAAAACATCATTTAAAATACAAATGTAAATTACTGTGATTCTTTTTATTAAAAAAATTACATCACTGGGGAAAAAAAAAAGCTGATTTTGTCATCCTCTCCTTGAAACACAGATTGGATCGGGAGGTTGAAGTGGAAGATTTCCAGCGGTACTTGGAGAAAGTTCAGACTTCCTTTTATGGATGCCCTGTTGAATCCCCACCAGTTGCTCTGCTTCATAAGAAAGGAAGAAACTCATCAAAAGCCAAAGGAAACTGTAATAAAAAGGTTTGCTACAAATAATATCAGTACAGAGTTGATACATACTGTGTTGTAACTTTAAATTCTGTAAAACGTTATGAATCCAAAAATGTAATACTTGAGGAATATTTTGTAAATATTTTGTAAAAAAGGGAAGGATTCCGTTCCTTTACACACTGAATCACTGCAAATGACTGCCCTAACCAGGTCTATCTGGCCTACACTCACAACACTGTCTTTTACTGGAACTGTAAAACAGAATTTTTGACATATTTTTAAATGCCCTGCAAAAAAACTCTTCTTGGTTTCTTCTACAGCCTAACGGCAATAAGCTTTCTTCATCTATTTCAATTTGGCTCTGTGCAGTAAGCACACATTAATATGCATAAATGAGAAAAAAAAATCCCTCTTCCAGCACGCAGCACTTTTGGTCCAAGCACGTTCTTTTATACTCGTACTATTGCTTATATCGTCAAAAGCATAGAGGAGGAGTCTATCGGGAAAACTGCAAAAGAATGGATTATAATTATATATAGGCATTCTGTTTATCCCTTCTGCTCTAAATTAGCATCTATAGTAGATCTCTGTAAGCAAAATCTGACTTGGAACTATTCCTTGTATTTCTATAAGAAAAAAAAAGCCAGCATATTATTAACTTATATGTAAACAATCCTCTTTTTTAACATCCAGCCTTAGTTAAAATTTCAGGTTAATGGTTCTCTTTCTGTGAAGGTGGGAAGAGATAAGGACAAGGTCTCACAGCCTTCAACTGGCCTCAAAAAACTGTATCAAGAAGTGAATATGCAAAAAGACCCTCAGTGCCACTTGCCTATGAATCCCAAGGCAACTGAACATGCATACCAGTTTGGAGGTACAGCAAATAGTCGGCAAGAATTTGATCGCATACCAACAGATTTCAGTGAAAGGTAATGAGACTTCAGAAATAAAATTATAATTACTGAGGAGGAAGAGATGCATATGAAAAATGAAACAAGAAAAAGGGCATATTTTTGCTGTTACTGTGTTATTCGGGTTTTTTATTTTATCCTAGGCAAATTTTTGCAATGTGTTTTCAATTACATTCTTTTTGTGAAGCCTTCATCTGTATTATATATTTTTTTAAGAAGTTTCTTTGTCCATTTGCATGAAGACTTCAAGGATGTTAGTTATATACAAGCAGTGCGTCATCAGTCTCTTTGTGTGAGAAGTAATGGCATTAGATTAGAGCTGGAAAACATGATCGTTCACCCAGAAATGAAGCATAGTTATGTGTTGAGTGGATGTTAGCAGCTGTTCAGTGCTCAGGAATCTACACCATGCAGTAAGACATAAAGCTATGAAAACCATGTCCAGTCGAAGCCATAACATAAATACAAATAATTTACAATGAGTCCAAATATTGTGGATATTAAACTCTCAGGCTCCCACAGAATGCCATATGATATATTTTGATCAGCACAGGATTTTGGTTTAATACTTTCCGTGAAAGACAATAAATTCAACAACACAGGGCTTCCTGGAAGCATACCAGACCACTAATACAGAAAAGAAGAGTGCTGTTTCCTGACTTAGATAACAAAAGCATTAGGTTTTAAATCAACAGTGTTTTACTTAGGGCAGTCCTGATGGTGCCCATGTGAGATAGAACAAGGAAAACCCAAAGTCTAACATTTCTACTCATCCTTACAAGACATATTCCTGTTACAACTGTTATTACACACTTTTTATTGTAATGTGCATTTTAAAAAAACAATGACTCGTGATGTTTTACAACAACTGATATTGGCAAGGCCCTTAGCATGAGTGGAATGTGAGAAACAGCAGCTAAGCTATTTCATCTAACATGGGAAGCAGAACTAATCTGTTCTGTCATTGTGCTACACTAATATAGCTTTGCCATTTTTTAGACCAAAATAATAGACCTAATACTAATCATTGAAGAAATCTTCACTGCTCGCTATGTTGAACTGAGTTAGCATAATTTGCCACGTTGTGTTAGATGTCATGAGGACCTACAAGGATGAAGAAATTTAGCAGCAAGTCTAGAGTAACATTAAATGTTCATAAACAGAGCCACTGCTAGAAAAATGTTAAAGACCTCCAACACTGCTGTGTATAAAAATGTATAGACTCTCATTTTCTGATGGTCTGTATTAATTTTATTCACGCAATAAATTTTGGTTTTTGAAAATCTGCCTTGCAAAGAAGCTTCTTCTCCTACTTCAAAACTACTAGAAAGTTTATCAGAAAAATATTTTCCATAAAGGAGATAAATATTCCATATGACGAGACAAAAATTTCAGTCATCTTCTGCTTGCAGTTTGATTTCTGTCAGTAAAATCTGCTTTAATACTAATACTGCATTTTTGTTTGCCAGAGCTCAGTTCTCTATCAGTCTGAAGACTCACTCGTCTCATGGAATGATTTTCTATGTCTCAGACCAAAAGGAGACCAATTTCATGACCCTTTTTGTTGCTCATGGACGACTCATTTTTATGTTTAATGCTGGTCATCAGAAGATAAGGATTAAGAGCCAAGAGAAATACAATGATGGCCTTTGGCACAATGTAAGTAAAAGAAAGTAATCAGTATGATGATACGTGCTGTAATGCTGCAGTAAAGACACCACTGATCTGATAACTCATGGAGGTTTCATTCACATTTACATAACCACACCTATATGTGGAGAAGCTTCTGACAGTACTTTTTAAACTTTCACAGTGTATTTTATAAAGTCCTTAACTAGGGATAGGAAAGTGAATCAGCTATAAAAATCCACGAACTCACAAAACTATCATGTGAATAGAAATAAGAGAAGTGTGCAGAAATGCAGAATAGTGAGGGGGAAAAAAAAGCTAGGAAAGGAAGGACTAGGATAATTTTGATCAGCAATTTTTTTTTGAAGTGCCTAAGACAGGAGCATAGCTATCTTAGGCACCCTTTGTAGTCCATGAAAATAAAAAGACAATTTTAGGGGCAAGGTGAATTTCCTACTGTACATATCTGTTTCTCCTTACTGACTACAGAGGGACTCTGCAGTCACTAAGCTCCTAACTTGGATGCTTAACTCTTTAAAGCTGGTTGGATAAATCCAGACCATAAAACTGGAGACGGCCATGAAAATACTAAGAGTGATAGTACTGTACCTACAAATCATATGTGCAAATATAAGATGATCGGATCTCAGCAGACCCTGTGACACCTCATACACCAGAATGGCAAGACTGCAGTTTTACAATCTAACCTTTATATGGATGTGAAGAGAGAAGGTTGCCCAGCAAAGAATACTGGCAGTTAATAAAATTGATTTGCAAAGTATGATTCACAAGCTTCACTTCTTAACTTCTTACTTTCTTCCACTGCACCGGAATGTTCCCTCTACATATGAAAGTAATCTTCCAAATTTTTTTTTCCTCCCTTTCTAGGTGATATTTATTAGAGGCAAAAATATTGGTCGCTTGATAATTGATGGTCTCCGAGTACTAGAAGAACCTTTCAGTGGTAATGATAATACCTGGCAAGTCACTGAACCGCTGTATATTGGGGGTGTAGCTCCAGGAAAAGCTGTGAAAAATATCCAGGTAAATCAGACAGCTATTATATCACCCATATGTTTATGTACAGCTAGAGCAAAAGCTGCCTATAAGGATGAGTCTAAAGAAGGGTATGTTCCCAGTCCTCAGCACATTGAGGAGCTCACAGCTCAGTTCATGTGATAGCAAAAATCCCACAGGGCTGAGCTAGGATAGCTCAGTAGCTGGGATAGATTTCAGTAGACTTGTAGCAGCATCTGGAAAGCTGGTGGTCCCTGAAGAAGAGAGAAGTCTTAGCAACATCCAAGCTTAGATGAGTGAGGTAAAATTAGTTGAGATCAATTTCACCCTAAGATCTGAGATATATAAGTTTCAGTGTTGTCTCAGTACCTCTGAGACTGTACCTAGAAATCAGTATTCTGCTCTATATCTTTGATATTAAAGTATATAGAAAGGAGTGTAAAAGGAAAAATCAACATCATCAAAGACTCCTTCAAGGTAATCTTTGGTGATATGTGCCTAACAAGATAGCTGCACGCTTCAGGAAAAATTGACCACTGTCTTGCCTTGAGGTTACGTGGTATGTACAATACTGCCTTGCTCTATGCACGTTGTTTCCAGTGGTTCTACCAATCGTGTTCTTTCTTCCCTCAGATTAATTCAGTCTACAGTTTTAGTGGCTGTCTCAGCAATTTACAGCTCAATGGAAGATCAATTACTTCAGCTTCACAAACGTTTAGTGTAACACCTTGCTTTGAAGGCCCATCAGAAGCAGGAACGTACTTTTCATCAGAAGGAGGATACGTTGTCCTTGGTAACACACTGCTGAAATATATTCAGTAATGAAACCATACTTTTCACTGTACTTCAAAACAGTATATTTCACTAAAGAATGTGGTAATTTCCAAGGCTGTGAGCTGCAAAGATTATTAGATACAGATCATTATTGTGTAGGCAACTGATGTTGACAGGTAAGAATGTTCTCATGAAAATTAACAAGTTGCTACATAATTATATCTGTATGGGTGTATGAATGCATGTATTTAAAATAATTAGAATAATTTCACAAGAGAACAGATTCTAATATGGTAACAATTATTATAGACACAAAAGTCAATTTGGCTAAAACCAAGAACACCAACATTCCTTATTTTTTACTTAATAAAATAACACATAATTCAAAAATTCTATGAAAAGACTTTATGAACATCTTGATAATGAACAGCATGACAGATGCATCTTTTCTATCATTGAGGACTACTGTGTTCCAGGAAATGTTCTAAGAAGGATTTTCTTGGGGTCACATTTTTGCAACACCAAGAAGATCCATGTGGTGTTTCTAATTTGCTCCCTGGCCTGCCAGCAAATTGAAAAAGGGACTTTCTGCTATTAAATCATCAAAGCTCAAGTGAACTCCAACTCGCCGTATAAAAACTGCTGAATATCTAGCAAATTGCACAATAAGAAACTGCCAAAAACCCACACAGAACCTATTTTCTGCTGTCCATTTCATTGCTAATGTTTTTAAAGAAAATATCTTTTTTTTTCTTGAATAATGAAAAAAAAAACAAGCAAACTATTATTAGTACTTCAAACTAAATCAAACAGAAGTGTAAATGGGTGGCAAACCATGCTATCTCTTCAAGTATGTGTATTGGAATAGGTTCTAATACTTCTGAAGACAGAACAAATAGGTTCTACCCTGGGACTCTGAGAAGATGCCCAGGCTTACCATTAACTCAGTACAGAGATAATGTATTCTTTCTCCCTCACAGACGAATCTTTCAGTCTAGGTCTGAAATTTGAAGTTGTTTTTGAAATACGTCCCCGAAGTAGCTCAGGAATTTTACTGCATGGCCACAGTGTGAATGGAGAGTACCTGAATATGCACATGAGAAATGGACAGGTATAATGGTCATATTTCCTCCACTTCTCTGACTGGTTCCTCTACTGCCTAGTTGGGCTCTGCTAAATGCAGCTTTTGTTTTACAAATTTGGCATTATTTGATTCTTAATTCTCTCACAGATAAGTTAACTGCTTAGATTAGGCAACCCAGATACTTCTTTTAACATACAAAATTAACATACAAAAAAAGTAACACTGAAGACAAAATCAGATCACTTTACTGGTACCAACAATAAATATTTGATTACCAGAGCACTGATGCTTTGGTACTATTTTTTCATCCACATATTAAAAATGTATAGTAAGTAAGATGATTTTTATTTCTTGTATATTAAAAGAGAAGTCTGGGTTGAGCACATTCTCTTCTTGCTTTAGCAAATGTGTATAATGGGGAAAGATGAGGAAAAGGCAAGGTTCTGATTGTCTGCTGATCCATTTTCTAAAATTCCTGGATTTTTCTAAGGCTACTAGTTGAATGAGGGAAGTTTGAAATGAACATATCAGATAGTTGTTGCCAATGCTGTCTTTTGTTATGTTCATCGGTACACTCTGGGTACCTCCACTGTGCACATGCAACAATAAGTTGCAGTATAAACAGACAAAAAAGAAAAGGTTTAGAGCAGTGATTTATTTATTTGTTTGTTTGTTTGTTTGTTTTAACTTTCCTTTTTGCAATAAAGAAACTCAGCATAGTCAAGAGACTGGGCAGTGTGGATATTCCGTAACCACTGCAATGCAGTATCTAACTGTCCCAGCATCTAACTGCCAGCCAAAGAGAAGGATATATAGGTGAGGCTGACTTGGGTTGAAAAGAACCTTAAAGTTCATCTATTTCCAACCCTGAATGGCTAAGCTCAGTGCACGACTTATCTAACAGCCACCACTGGGAATCTTGTGTCCTGCAAAAGGGATGCAGTGCTGCTCTGCTACTACAGTGGTGTTACCATGCAGGGAGGTACTCATCCAAATGATTAAAGCAGAGATACAAAATTCAAAATTAGGTACACTTTCTAGTTCTGCCAGAGGTTTCCTGGTAAAATTGAAAGTAACCTAAAAGTCATTCTTAAAGTCCCCTATCTGTGTTTCTCAGATCTTGTCTGTTTGTTAAGGTTTTCATGACTGTTTTTCTTATTAAGTGGCTATCAAGTTGCCAAAACATTCTCTAAACACTAATTTAACACACAGGAAATTATAGAGTAGCAGTACTAGAAAATCTGAGTAAAATTAGCTGTTATTTTTGAATCTTTTTTTGAATTCTACCCTGAGTTCAAATCAGAAATGTTTAGCACTATTGAATCTAAAAAAAATCTGTGAATTTGATATTTTATTCTAAATAATTTCATTATTTATTTCTTTTTTTTTTTTTTTGCTTCTGAGTGGAGAATACTGCATTATCACAAAAGAAGGGGGAAAAAAGAAGAGGTTTTACAGCAACAAGTATATTATTTTCTTCCAGGTTACTGTGAAACTGAATAATGGAATCAGGGATTTTTCAACCTCAGTGACACTGAAACAGAGTCTCTGCGATGGCAGGTGGCATCGAATTGCAGGTCAGTAAAGCATGATCATACCTTTCAGAAAGGTAACAGTGCCAAAACCTCCCTCCCTAGCTATCTATCTCCATGGGCCAGTGCACTGGACATATTTTCAGGTTTTCCTTTTCTCTTTGTCAAGATGCAGTTTGTATGAAAGTGGCAGACCTTTTCCTCACTCAGACATAGGAATTGTAGTGTCCTGGGAGGGCAAGACCAAGTTCCTACCAAATACAAAGAAAGATGAATGCTTGTTGTTCAGGGAACACAAGACTGCCTCATGGAAATGCTGGCAATCTTTTCCAAGATGTAAACCAGATGGTATTCTTCTTTTCCCATTTTCCCCAATTAGAGGTTAAATACAGTGGTAGAAGCCAGTACTGAGCACAAGTATGCTGCCCTTAGGAGATCAGCGGGACAGATCTGAGGAACCCCTAACTCATACAGAGAGAGGTTTACAGTCAGGATTTTACCTCTGTGCCAGATAGGCATCCTTCATTCCTGGGTTTGAAAGTCAAAAAGTACATCTAAATCTCAGGTACTTAGGAGTCCCTTACTTTTCTGTCTGAATACTCACTTGGGATGCCTCCTGGAGTTGCATACAGAAGAGACCTGAGTATATGCCCTTTCCCTATGCATTCTAGTTTCCTTTTGAGGGAACAAGCAAGGAGAAAAATTCACTGCATTCAAATTGGTACCCTACTGGGAATGATTTGGCAACAAGTTTTATTCAGCAGCCCACCATTGCATGCACACGCCCTACAGTCTAGACATAAGCACCAGCAATCAAGAAACTCACTCAGAAATACCCTTGCTTCCACTCTCTTATCTTGCTTTGACCCTGTTCTGTGCCAGTATCTGCCCATACACTAGCACTGACAGTAATCATAGCTCATAGCCAAGCAAAGACTAAATCAAACAACTTAGATCAAACAGATACATTTCTTGTCATAAAGACTTCAAATGATACTTTTGAAAATCTTTCTGATATCTGATCCTTCTCCCTTCAGTTATTAGAGATGCTAACGTGGTGCAGCTGGATGTAGACTCAGAAGTCAACCACGTGGTAGGGCCACTAAACCCAAAAGCAACTGACCACAGGGAGCCAGTGTTCATTGGAGGTGTACCAGGTGAGTATGTTTTGTTCTCAAATTTCAATAGAGTTTCCACAGGAAGCACAGAAGAGGGACTGTAGAGGAACTTTCATCAGGGGGTGTAGTGAAAAGACATGGGGCAACTGTTTTAAACTAAATGTAGATTTGTATTAGATACAAGGAAGAAATTCTTTACTATGATGGTGGGGCACAGAAATGGGTAGCCCAGAGAAGCTGTGGATGTCTCATCCCTGGATGTGTTCAAAGCCAGGCTGGATGGAGCTTTGTCAGACACGTTTAGTGGAAGGTATACCTGCCTGTGGCAGGGGGCTGGAACAAAATAGTTGCTAAGGTCCCTTCCAACCCAAACGATCCTATAATATTAATTTTAATTTCAAAAAAGAACAAAAAGATACCCACGTGAGCAATCTGGTAAAATTCAAAGTCTCAAAAGCTAATCAGAAATGTTGTGTCTCACATCTCAAAAGAAAAATGTCTTCTTTCATTTCATTTAATACATTCACTGTTTCTAGAGAGTTGGGTATGGACTCAGTTCTCGTCTGCTAACCAGAAAAAAAAAAAAAAATCTTATTATACACTTTCCTTTCCAGTAAGGGTTTACTGTTTTAAAAAAAGAAGTTATTTATCTACTCATTTTCATTTATGAAACTGGAAGTTCACTGTGACTGTAGACTTATGGATTTTTTTGCTGGTAGGATGCTTTCTTCTGCTTCAAGCAATAGCATCTTTGAACACAACATAAAACATGAAGATTCTTATTCTGACTAGTGCAGTCCTATTGCACAGATGTCTGCTAACATGAATTTGTGACTCACAGACCATCTGTGTAGCGTGGGCCAAGATTACTACATTTACTTCCCTTATTCAACAGACAGAACTACTCTGTTGGGGTTCTTATGCAAACTGTAATCAACACTACGTGATCCAATTTTTAAACCATCTCCTGTACATCTCTCACTGAAAACTTGCAGCATTATTTTTCTGTGCCTTGCATGTCAATCAGAAACATCTCTAACTACACAATTTATTATATTGCTTATCTTGAATTAGTGTCTTGAGTGCACAATGTTCAAATCCATCTGACACTACCAGGAGGAAAAATGAGCCTAAAGAGAATCATAAAACCTATGCACACATGCCTTTTCACTCTTTAAATCCAAATTGGAGTTTTATTAGGACAGAATTCTTCCCAGAGAGGTAATATAAAGTGGTAATTGCAAACGGTGTCCTGCCTCATAATAGAGCTTTCTCTTTCTACATAAATTATAGAATACTAAAGCAATGCCATACATTGGCTCTATAATATTATTATCATTCTGGCATAGAAGATTCTTATAATGAACTTCACAACAACAAAAAAGATGTAGTACTAACTAATAACCTGTAAATATAGTAAACTAAATGCAGCCTAACAAATCAGGCATGGATGACAACACATATAATATTAGAAGGAATTACAAACACATTCATTGCCTGAGAGTCATCTACTCTGTTATTTAAATTAAATGCAGCTTTAAAAAAAATGCAAGATTGAGCCTCTATCGATACTATATATTATTGAGATTTTTACATAAATGTAGATAAATCTCCATATTTACTCCAGCGTCTTACTGGTCTGCAGGCACCAACCTTCCTTTCATCCATTCAAACTGTTCAGTGGAACAAAACTATTTTTCATATAATCTGACTCTTCCAAAAGCTGGCTACTCTACTCCAGCATCCAATTAATTTTTCTACACTATTTGGTTTTCTTGGTGATTGGATCATGGATAGTATCGATTATGCCACAGGCTTTGGAATAGAGCACTGAGCTGCAATTAAGAAGATTTAAGTTCCATTACACATCATTCTACCAACCTGATTATTTTGGTTTTCACAAGCTCTAACTTCTTTTTCCTTAAAATTTGTTTCTTCCAGAGTCTCTGCTAACATCCAGCCTGACTACACGCAACTCCTTCATTGGCTGCATTCGTAATTTCATGATTGATGAAAAAACAGTCAGTTTTAGTAAAGCAGCCTTGGTCAGCGGTGCTGTAAGCATCAATACATGTCCTGCAGCCTGATAGCACACTGCCTCAATCCTGTGAAGTGTCTTAGACCACAGGAAGGAACTATAAAGCAAAAGAAACCATGTTCTATTCATCACCAATGCTGAGAAAAAAAATGAAAACATCAAGGATTAATTTACAAAAATCACTTCTAATATTTCTGTGCAAAACAAAAATCACTGAAGAATAAAGAGCTGTTGCTTCTGCAGTTCTCTTATTATGCCACAAGAGTGAGCTTTACCATTTCTTATAACACATGTGTGGCCAATCTGCTACATGAAAATGTGGAATTATAAAAAAAATAAAAATTATACTAAATACATTTCTTGCAAAATAAATCCTGTACATCATTTTGTTCCGTATCTTGGGTCCCAACTTGTTTCCCAGGAAAAGATCTGCTACTGCATATTAAAGAATAAAGCCAATTAATAGACTTACATTGCAAATAACTGCGTTCAAGGATTTATTTCATAATTTTCTATTCAACTCATTTAAGTATTCCTCATTTATATTGGCAGCAGAGAGTATACTTAATTATGTAAGCTAATAGTGAAAGATTAGAATGTTTTTATCCCACTTCTAGATTTTTGGAGGTATTCTAGCAGAGTGCGGAGAAAGGATGTGTATTATTTAGAACAGATACAGAACTGACCTCTTTCTAAGTCAGTAATTTTAGAATTATACTTGACTTATGGAGGAAGGGAGAAGAGAGAGAAAATTCCAAATTTCAAGCTTTTTCTCTACAGTGTTAAATATACTTACTCATTTATTTGCACTAGCATAACATAAGTAAGCACAAAGTATAGAAAGGAGAATCATAGTCACTGTTTCAGACAAATCCTTATCTCATAAATTGTCACTTCCTTGTGAAAATACTGCAAGACTCCAGTTTACAGAAGTAATCTTCAAACTAGACAGACATTCCTGCAGAACGTGCCCTGAAAGACAGACTGCTGAGGAACTGGGAGTGAAAAAGGAAGATGCAAACAGGAGGCAAAGGGCTGCAAAGGGCTGCAGATGTGAGCTGTGTGAGCCTGTGTTTTCATAGAAGTTGAATGGAAGTAAAACTGTAGACCTTTGCAGTATATGTTAACATCAAATACACAGAAATCCCCTGCAAAACTTGGTCTCTTCTGTGATAAGCTATAAGGTATTAAAGACATTTTTATATATTTTCTTTGAAGAAACAACTACTGTTAACATCAACTTTTATAATGACTGGGCAAATTACTGGTGGAACCAACTCAAAATATGACAAGCTGCAGAGTAGGAAAAGTAGTAATTAAAAGCATAAAGGACACCACTACCCAAACTAAAAATGTAAAGGAACACATCTGGAAAACACAGAATAGACAACTGTCTCCAAGTCTTGAAGTGATGGACAGTTGGAGGAACCACTCCAAGAAGATACCACTCAGTACCTTCATCACTTTCAGTAGGAAAAGGATTTCAACAAACTGAAGTGTTCTTGATTCACTGTGGGTGAAGAACAACAAGCTCTGGATAGACTGGCACATGGACTCCTTGGCAGGTGGGATGGCATCACTGCCTCCTGCTTGTCCGTAGAGCCCGCTGTTATCAGACAATTACAGTGATTAATGAACAAGGGAAGACAGCATGACTCCAGCAACCACAGCCTTTCTCTTCACCAGCCTTGTCAGTTTGCACATGCTTTCAGCCCCATGTTTCTCCTGGACAAATCTCCCACTCCACTCCCTGCAACTATAACCCAAAACACTCCAATGGCTTCTATTCTGGGAATGATGCTGAGCCCTCTCTCTTCATCACTCCAAAGCCCACTGTTCATCATTCAAAAGGAAGCAATGAGTCCCCCTCTTTACCAAGTACACTGTGGGGTCCCCAAATCCAGCTGCCTTCAAATGTATTTTTCTCAGATATCAAAAATAATATGGCTACTCAACAATTTCCTGCTCCCAGCCACTACCTAGAATGCAAATAGAAAACTTTTAGGGCTTCCGTTCTGAGATTTTATTTTGGGGACTGGAGTAAAGTTGTCAGATCAGTGAGCTGGTCTCCCAGTTGGTACCAGAGACTGTACAGTGTCAGGGCTGTGCAACTGGCACCAGGAGTAAAAAGGGAATCAGAAGTCTCTCTCTATGCAATTGGCAGACAGCTGACAGATTGCCCTAATCTATCTCAAGATGCCACAGCTTCAGCTAAACTTCCTCTGGCCCTGGTCTCCAGGATGCTATTGCTGGAGAGAAAAGGACAGCAGATTCCCAGTTTAGATAGATTTTTACAAGGATTATTGAAATTCTTTTCAAGATTGTCTGCAGCTGCTAAGCAGAGATAGCCAAGAATAGCATATGCTGCCCCGTAAGAACATCACAGTTTACTGAGTGCTAGTATTAACTGGAGCATTATATCTTAACTGGTACGTGTACTCAGAAAAATTGTCCATCTTAGATCTACATCAACCTGAAGCTTTTTTTCTCATATCCATACCCAAGCTCTGGGAATAAACAGTATTTTTCTTAAGACATATTTGCTGCAATTAGATTTGGTTTCGTTCAGTAGTTTTATATATTAAAAAAAATAAATAAAATGATTTTTCTGGTTAATCAGTCCTTTGCATACTTTATATATGGAAAACAAAAAATACAGTAAAATAGTAAATGAATAAAAAACACATTAAAATTCATAAACTACTACAATTCAGTTTACTTCTCTTTAATGCATCCGCAGCTAATCAAGCACAACAGTGGCAAGTTTCCAGACTAGGCCTCAGAGATGCAGGTTTTTTTTCTCTGCAGAGAGAAAAAATACTATAAACCAGAGGATTCTTCCATAGGCAGGAGAGTGTAGAGAATAAATTGAGTTTCTCTCCTCCCAGCACCATCATGGACCTTGAAACTGCCACTCCACGTGCACCAAAAAAAGCTCTCTATCTGATGAATTACATCACATACATCTCTGCATTTATTTTGAAGCTTGTGGTGTTTAGGAGAAGGAGACTGCCTAAGCAAAAATCTTCCCAGAATTCAAACAGTCTTCTGTATCTAACTGAAAATTCATACTTCATCTTCAAAGATCTGAGAAAAAGCTCCAAGTTCCAATGTGCATTGTTAGATTATTCATTTGCATTTTCAATATAAGTAACTCAATTCTGCAGAAAGGCTGTTTAAAAAAAAAGAAGAAAGAAAGAAAGAAAAAAAAAGACCTTAAGGAGATTATACTTTTCCTCTGCCACCTTCAAGTTTTTAATAACAGTGTTATTATAAAGTGAAATATTCTGAAATTTGAAATTTGCTATGTCAGAAAGAATCGAAGTTTAAACTGAAATACTCAACTGATTCAAAACAGAATATTTAATTAGGATCTCTGACCCTGTTTCTTATTTCTGAAAATCTGTAGAAATCTCCCACAGACAGAGGTTCCTATCAACCTTTCTCTATCCTCAGGAATAAAGTATAAACAATAGCCTGAAAAGGAATATGAAAGATGAAGGTTTGACAGTAAATCCTCAAATGCCAACAACACCAATTATATACATATGTGTGTGTGAAGTAGGTCCTGATAAAATCCTAGGAATAACATTAGTTCAAATTCCAGTATGTTCTTCCTGTCTGTTAAGATGCTGAAAGCATAGCACATATATTTAAGTTATGGTACACATTTGGGATTTAAGGATTATTTGCTGATTCACAGCAGTGCATGCAAACTCATTTCCTCTCAGTAACATCGTGTGTTACTCCTACATTTTGACTCAGGTTCCAAAGCTATGGTATGCAATGGGTGTATAACAACAGTATTTACTGAGAAAAAAATAAAGGGTGAGAAACACAAAGAAGCATAAGACAGGTGATTAATTCCCGTAGACAAAAAGTCTCTCAGGGGACATGACCAGACTGATCCATTTATACTACCCTAACCAGGAGCATCTGCAACAAAACAAGTCAGTGTGTGGCTATTTCTTTTACAGTGATGAACTGCCTGTTCCATTAAACCTCTAAGTGCATGAAACAAGCCAAACTGGTAATTATACATCCACTTTCTGCCCTTGGACCCCTTTTGGAGACTAAGAAGATGAATTGTGAATATGAATCTGCTATTCTGATTCTTCTTTTCTGATTCAGAGCATTTCCCAGCTGAGGGAGAAGACACACTGTATGTTTTTCATCACAGACTTAACAGTACACAGGAAGCCAAAGTGTGGAACTCAACTCCACGGTGCAGCCTCACATTCATGTTTTGCTGAGGGCTTCTAATTGATCTCTGATGGATCCAAGTCATGTCCATGAGTCAGCACTGTGGCCTCTCCAAAGTAAATAAAGGTTTAGGATATGCTAAACTGTCCTGGTTTGATCAGTGTTTCATATCACAAAAATTGGGGCGTAAAGTTAAGATTTCTACCAAGAATTTCATCCAACGAATTTTCCTTGCACACCAGAAACAGCGCATTTGGAAAAAACCTGTTTTGTTACATTTTGTGTAGCCACAAAATTAGCCACACCAGCTAATGAACCGGACTGCATGAAACTGCTTCAGCTCTCCCACAGGAAGCCTGGGTTGCCATCTTAGGCCCACGAGAGCCTTCTGCAAGCAACTGGTTTGCACAGCAGGCGCTCCTCACACCATTTTGCAGCAGCCACGCTGCAGTCTGCAGGACCGCAATGGGACATCGTTGCTTCTTGCCTCTCACACAGAGCCCTGAGATTGCTGCGTTCAACACAGGAACCTCCTTCTAATGGTAACGTGGGTAATTATTTGCTCGAGAATTGCGAAAATGAAGATAAATCTAATTTGCAGGCCTGGTGGGTATGTCATTTCTGCTTGAGTTTTTTTTTTATTATTTTTAATTTTTTGACATTTGGCACCACCAAGCTTAATAATATACCGGGGCGGAAAACGTATCTTAACGATTTTAGCAATAACAATAATAATAGCGAATCGGCTCCTGTGCGCTCAGAAAGGCGCCCACAGGGGCGGAGTCCCCGCGCAGCAGCGCCGGGCGGTGCTTAAGGCGTGCCGCTGTCACGGCCCGCCCGCCGCCGCCGCCGTGACGAGAGGGCGGCTTCCGGGCGCCGAGTTGGAAAACGGTCGGAAGTGGAAGCGGCGGCGGCGGTCCGCCGAGGCCGGCATGACGCAGTCGGTGGTGGTACAGGGTGAGGGGCTGCGTCGCGCGGAGCCTGCCCGCCGCCCCCGGCCCTGCGTGAGCCTTGTCTCTTCTCTTTGCAGTGGGCCAGTGCGGGAACCAGGTGGGCTGCCGCTTCTGGGACCTGGCGTTGCGGGAGCACGCGGCTGTCAACAAGGTAACGCTGCCCCAGGGCTGGCTGCGGAGAGCTTACCTGCTGCCTGTTACCTGCTCCCATCTGGTCAGCTTGCTCGAGGCTTTCCACCTGGAGGAGTGTGGGCTGAGTCCCTGAAGGCCTTCATTATCAGGGTTAACTCACCACCTGGTGCCCTGGCAGTACAACAAACAAAGCAGCCGTGTTGAAGCCTTTTAGGAGGAAGTTCTTCACACAGAGGGTGGTGACGCATTAGAACAGGTTGCCCAAGGAGGTTGTGGATGCCCCATCCCTGGAGGCATTCAAGGCCAGGCTGGATGTGGCTCTGGGCAGCCTGGTCTGGGGGCTGGTGACCCTGCATGTAGCAGGGGGGTTGAAACCAGATGATCATTATGGTCCTTTTCAACCCAGGCCATTCTGTGATAAGCCTACCTTTCCTATCCCATCCCATCCCATGCTCATGCACACGGTGCAGTCGGAGTCACTGTGCTGTAAAGAAGGCACAGGATTATGCTGAGTGCTTTCAACAAAAACACATCCTTCTTGGTATTATAAATATACTGCTCCTAGCACATACCTTCAGTTAACAGAGGTGATAGTGAGCAGTCCTGAATGCTTTTTGCTGAAGTAGTTGTAAAAAGGCAACAGGCAGAGTTCCTGTGTGTACTGAGAATCTCTTAGTTTAGGTGTTGCAGAGATTTTCCAAACACTGTGTCATCAGGTTTTCAAAAAAAACCAACCAAACAAAAAAAAACCCATGACTGTGTATTAAGTTGACATGTATCTTTAGCTTTATGCTGGGATAAGTGATTTGCACAGCAGCCCTCAGCAGGGAGTTCAGAAATCACCAGTGCAGCAGTCTGCTTTCATTTCCACAGCGCACACTGGGCATGACCGTCTCCATGTCACATCACTAAGCTGAATTAGCTAAACAGCAGCTTTGTGATTTAATAGTTTCATTGGGATCTTCAGTAAAATCCTAAATATTTAAAACTGAAGTATTTGTTTAATCCTCTGCTGGGAAAAAAAAAAAATCCTGGTTACATTCTCCTGACAGTTTTTAATATCAGCTGACGCTTGAGTGAAGTTCAACAAAGCTACAGAAGGGGGGTTCAGGTTGGAGATCAGGAAAAGGTTCTTCACCAGAGGGTAGATGGGCACTGGCACAGGCTGCATGGCACCAACCTTGCCAGAGTTCAAGAAGTGCCTGGACAGTGCTCTTAAACATAGGATTTGAACTTTGGGTGGTCTTGTGTGAAACCTGGATTTGAACTGTATGGTCTCTGGAGGTCTCTTCCAACTCAGGATATTCTTGGGTTCTATGAAATTTTCTTTTTAATGATGGCTGGAGCTATCTGGGTTGGACATAGATGGTTCACCCTGTTTGGAGACTGGTAACCTCCAAGAATTCACTGTAACCTAAGTTTTTCTGTAAAAAAAACACTGAGTACTTCTGACATACCATCTTATCTTAAATTGTTTATTTCCAGAAAGGAATTTACGATGAAGCACTGAGCAGTTTCTTTAGGAATGTAGATACAAGGTAAGTCTTCTTATCAGGTAACTCTGTGGATTTAACACAGCAGACTAACAATTCTAGCATCTCGTCTTAACCTAAATTAAAACTCCTTTTTTTCACATCAGATACAGTTTGCATTAGAAAAAGATTCCACTTCTTTGTCTTCTCAAGGCACTATCCTTTTCATTATATTTACTGCAGTAGTTAAACGTGTTGCAAGTGTTTGGTTTTGCTTTCCTTTCCTCACATTGGAAAAAAAATGTCAGTCAAGATCTGATAGCTTTTGCTGTTACCAATCAGAATGAGACTGCCAGCTCTCTGAATACTAACTTAGTAGCGTTCACTGAAAACTTGTAAATGGAATTATGTGTAAGGTGTTCAGAAAAGGTCCTGTCAATTTTTAAATCTGTTTTATCTGACTTTTATCTGTAATTTGCTGTACAGAATGGTGGCTGTGATAATTATTTAAGTTGCCCAGTTCATACCTTAGGAGCATTTCATCGTATCTATCTGTCCAGTTACAAAAATTCTTTCAGTTTGCTGAAAAGAATGGAACAACTGGACACCTAGGTATTATTGTTATATTCTAATTAGAAAAAAAGCATTTGACCAGCCTTTGTTTCCTTCCATTACACAGCGGAAGCACAGCATGCCATTTTAACTAAAATGTAATTGAAGTAGTGTTTTATCTCAATTCTTTTCTTAGAAAGTCTTAGAATATCCTTTTTTTTTTTTTTTTAAATCCAGAAGATCTAATTGTAAGCAATGTCTGTGTTTTCATATGTGCCAGGTGGAACCACTGAACTTTCAACAGGTTGACTGCAATGTAAATATTTCTCTGTAAAGGGGAAGGACTTACCTTGTTGAGCCCTGTAGATGTCTCAAGGAAGATTCCCCTGTGAGATTTCATCTTTTATAGGAGCTGTTCCTTAGGAACTTACTTAGCTTCCTGCTTTTGAGTGTAGTGTTAACTACAACTTAAGGGGAAAAAAAAAAAATCAAAGTCTGTGGCAGGTAGCAATGTTTTGGTCTTTTATTGTTGTGAGTTTTGATTTAGTTTTATCAAAAAGAAATACTTCACCTTCCATGTCACTGCAGTTGTAAAATCATGTGCTGGAAAAATGACAAATTTCAATCTTCTATGCTACATTGTACCATTTCTCTGAGTAATTAATCTAGGTGGATTATCTTGTAAGGAAAGTCTGTAAAAACACTGGCAGATTAACCAGACTCGCTCTTTTTTACTGATACTTATTAAATGGTGTAAGATTGGAATTGGGTTTGTGTAAATTCTCTGGTTTTGTGACCTGTCTACAGAGGATTTTACACTAGTACTGAAATAATGAGGGATCTGAGCATCCACACTCTTAACTCTGCTGTCAACTGCAGTAGGAAGATGCTTTGGTTGCCAGTGAATTGCACAATGGAAAGAAAGTTTTATTTGTTTATTTTTCAAGTAAAAAATATATTTTCATCTTGGATAGAATTGGCCCTTAATTGCTGTCTGAAATCACTTATTTTCACACTTCAGTCACTGTATTACAAATTGTTCTGTCCTTTCTTCTCCTTTCCCATCAGGGAATATAAATCAATGCTGGCAACTGAAGCTGTTGGCATATGTTGTGAAGGGGTGTGGTTTTTGAGTTTAAAAGCTTTTTGGTTCAGTGTGCAAAAGTTCATCAGCATGGTGATCACTCATCTCATGTACTGCAGGAACACACACCTTCTACAGTACAGACTGCTGCTGGTATTAATTTTCTAGAAACCAGATGTCAGAGCATTCAGCAAAGAGAACACCTGAAAGCCTTCTGTATTCATGTCAACAATGGCAAGAAGACTGGCTGTATAAGATGGCTGTATAACGATAGCTATTAGAAGCATCTTAGATCAGGCAGATACATAGTGAATGTAGGAGATAACAAAGTGTGCTAACAGGCTAATTGTATAACACAGTTTTCAGGTTTGAGTGTTCTAGTGGTAAATTGAGGTACCCAAACATTATTAAATATAGAAGACGATGTCTTACTCCAAAGATCATGCATGTTTTATTCAGTCAGCAAGAACTAGTGGTTATAGGATGAGCTCAATAAAAAATGTATGGCTTTATATGCAGAAAAGCATGTCTTAGATAATCCAGGGAGACTGTAAGGAATGCAGGGATTTTTGTGAGCAGCTGAATGCAAGTGATTGAAAGTACAGGTGGTCATGAAAGACCACGAAGATTGTTAAGAGAGAGATAAAGGTGGGCTTTTTTTTGTTATTGTTTATTTTCTCTCCAGGTTTTGTTAGTCCCTGAAGAGAAATAGAACTTTGTGGGTTCATACATTGAAATGCATGGGCTGGAGTAATCAGTGTGAGTCCTGTAGGCTGCTGTGAGCCGCTCAGCTAAGGAGAAACATTTGGAAAGCTGCTTTGGGTGAGAGCATAGGAGCTCCCTGGGGAATCCGGTGCAGGCCCATCCTCCCTTTTTCACTTGTTTGTGATGGGAATGAGCATAGTCAAAACACTTAGTGCTTTTCAGTTTTAGAATATTATTCCTACTGAATGTAGAATAGTACAAGACATACTTTGATTTGTTTAAACCTAAGGCTGATTGCCCCCTAAAATAGGTGGATTGAGCCATCTTCCATCTTTTTTTTTTTTTTTTTTAAACAGTCTTGAATACGGTTGGACCAGAATAGACTCATCTCATCCTCTGAGTGCAAAGCAACAGCATTCAATATGGGAAAAAATATGATTCTATGCAATGCACAGCCCTCTGGGCTGAATCAGTGCAACCAGTCCTGGAAAAAAGGCTGATAAAGCTGTGACAACACAACGTGATTTCTGAGTTAGTAAATCTTAGTGGCAAAATAAGTCAAGCACGGTGCTGTCCTAGTGCAGTTGTACTGCTTTCAAGCAGTAGAACAGTGCTGTGCTTCCACCATTGAAAGTATAGCAGTGTTATTTGGTGCAGTGTGTTCCACTATGTGATGTAATGTACCACATGCTAGGAAAAAGGATGTTGCTTTCGATTTTGGCAGCGCTTGTAGAGTTAGAGCAGAGGGTTTATGGGAGAGGAAATTTTCCATGCTTTCCTTTTTCGTTCTCCTGAAGTACTGCTTAGGATATTTCTCATTGAGATTGTATTCTGTAACTGCATTCTTTGGGGAAAATATGAGGCATGTTGTAGCAGGGTACATTTCAGGCTGTTTGTTTACATTGTAACAATACTCTGAACAATAAAAAATTAAGGAGGGAATTATATTCCAAATATATTGCCTTATTTTCTATTACAGTTCTAAACTTGAAATGTTGTTGTTTTTCAGAAGTGCTGGTGATGGTCCTGATATTTACAAAGGAAAAATTTGTTCTTTAAAAGCACGAGTAAGGCAATTTATGAAGACTATTCTTTTTTACACTATGTATTTGTCTGATTGCATAGGGATTTTCCTAATACTTTGTATGTTTTTAAGTACTTTGAATAGCAAAATTTCTAATAGTAACTTTATGGTTGGGGGGAGTTTTGCTTGGTTTTTAAAATACAATTTTAATAAAACAATTGCAGATAGTATCAAGTATTTATTAAAAAAAAAAAAGGCATGTGGGTTTTTTGAGCCACTTGAAGTGATTAAGAAGGAACAAAACCTGAAATGCACCTCTTTTAATTCCTTTGCTCCTAAGTATTTGGGAAAAGTATTTTTAAAACGTTAACAGTTGCAGTATCTGAAATGCTGTGCTGTTTATTGATTAGCTAACAAAGCAGTCAAGGTGAACTTTACCAGTTGGTTAGCAACAACTCTCTGAAGCACAATAGTAACAACGTACCTTTACTATTGTAGATGTTTTTCCTTCTTGTGTAATTATTTCAAAGAGCAGCCTGCTTGCTGACGGAATTTCAATACTTTCCTTTCTCACAGGCACTGTTGATTGACATGGAGGAGGGTGTGGTGAATGAAATTCTGCAGGGACCATTGAGAGATGTTTTTGATAGTAAGCAGCTTATCACAGATGTTTCTGGTTCAGGAAACAACTGGTAAGATCCTCTTCAGAGCAACTAATTGGATAGCATTTGAAATGGGGAATGATAACGGTAGCATTCTGGTTCATTCTGCTGCAGCATATTACTGGTGAACTTTGGAGTCACTGTTGCCTGGAGAGCTTTGAAAACCATTTTACAGAAAGATAATTCTGCTGATAAATCATTTTGTCTTTTTTTTTTTTTGGCTGCTGCTTCTTGATTATTTTTTTACAAAAGAACATGCTTTATATGTTTGTTTCTTTGGTACTCAGCTGCTTTCATTTCTGTCAGAGCCATAATCTAGTTTGGGACTGTCTACCTACCATGGAAATAAGATACTTCAGATTTCTAAGCATCGTGGTTGCTGGCATAGTGCAGATAAATTACATTATCAAAAAAGAGAAATTCAGAAGAAGATTCATTAACATAATAAATTTCACATTTTCACTGAGATGCTAATGTACCTCTGGTAATATTCAGTCCAGTACAGGCTGAGAATCAAATGATTAGCAAATATACTGAAGGTATATTGGGAATAGCCTTACCACCTAACAGCAGGCAAGTGTGCTGGGAATGGTCTGTTTGGTTTCTTTGTCACTGGTAGCAAATGACTCACATAGAACTCAAATGAAATCAGAACGCTATTATACAAGGACGTCCTCATTGTTAACAGATGTAACTTTCAGTTCATAGTTAAAATTTCATCATTCGGCATGGGTATTTATTTTCTTACTGATGTAAAATGATAGTGCAGGCTCAAAAGCTGTGAATTGATTGGTACTTGCATTCTCAAATTTAAAACCACATCTCAACTCCCATGTTTCTGTGATGTAGTCACAGTTTTGCAGCTAACAAGTTGGGGGTTACATTCAGCTCTGGACTCTGAATTATTAAGCAATACTATACAAAACATCAAAGAGAGGGAGTTAAATAAAATGAAAACTGGAAGATTGGTTGTTAGAGTGTTTCATCTTGTTTTTTTTAAAAGTATTTTTC